TGCAGTCCGTAGAAGGCCTCCGCGAAGCCTGGATGGTCTGGATAACAGCATCCGGGATGTTTGCACCCCCTAGGGCGCACCGCTCAACTGCCAAGTGGTTAGATGGAACCACTGAAGGTCTGGATGTCTCAATAACCCCTGAGTCAGGGTGTCTGCCTCTTGAGGTATCTGCCAAGCTGGGGCCACTGACAACGAAACAAGGTCCACAAACCAAGGCCTCCGTGGCCAATGTGGGACCAGCAGCACAAGTTCCGCCTGCTCCAGCAACAACTTGCAGATGATCTTGGAGAGGAGGGAGATCGGCAGAAACACGTAGAGTAGTCCCGACGGCCACAGGGATCGGAGAGCATTGGTGGCCTCCGCTTGAGGCAATAGGTACCGCGTGAGGAAATGCGGGAGCTGAGCGTTCGCTTGCGTGGCAAAGAGGTCCACCTCCAGCATGCCAAAGCGTGCTTCTAGCCCCTGGAAAATACGTGGGTGCAGGTGCCACTCTGCATGATCCAAGTGCTGATGACTCAGCCACCTGCAAATTGGTAACTCCGGAGATGTACTCTGCTTTTAACGAGCTGAAACGAATTTCCACCCAGAGACCCAACCTCATTGCCTCCAACATCAGGGACCTGGACCTTGTGCCCCCCAGGCAGTTGATGTGCGCCTTTGCTGTAACGTTGTCTGTGAGGACAAGGACATGTGAGGATGAGACGAGCTGGCGAAAAGCCCGAAGGGCCAGGTACACTGCTCGCAGCTCCAACCAGTTGATTGGCCGATGGGTTTCGCTGTCGGTCCACCTTCCCTACGCTACTTGTCCCTGACAGTGAACCCCCCAGCCATGAAGGCTGGCATCCGTCATCACCACCACTCTCTGCAGCTCGAAATACAGACAACCTCGGTAGATGGCAGGGGACCGCCACCATCTGAGAGACCTGAGCACCCTCTTGGGTACAGAAATCTTTGCTGAAGAGGTGCCTCTGCCCGCCTTCTGTAACGGTAAAAGAAACTATTGAAGGTCTCTAGAATGTAATTGTGCCCATGGGACAATCAAGATGGCAGAGTTCATTTTCCCCAGGAGTTGCGAAAGGACAAAGGGAGACACTGATCTACTCCCCTCCACCCTGGAAATCAGAGCTCTTATACTATCCTGACACTCCTGTGACAGATAGACCTTCCCAGTCACTGAATCAATTAATGCTCCCAAATGGAGCAGGCGGGTAGTGGGGACAAGGTGGCTCTTCTCAATGTTAATGGAGAAGCCATGGGAAGCAAGGGCCTGAAGGGTAGACTGTACATCTGCCGATGCCTGCTGTGGGGTAGAGGACAAAATCAGGATATCGTCCAGATAACACTGGAGACAAATGGATCTGGCCCTGAGGGATGCTGCTAAGGCTGCCCAGACCTTGGTAAAGGTACGCAGGGCAGAAGAGAGGCCAAAAGGCAAAGCCCTATACTGGTAATGAAACCCCCATAGGAGAACCTAAGGAACCTCCTGTGGGAGGGGAGGATGGGAATATGGAGATAGGCCTCAGTGAGGTCTATAGAAGAGAGGAGATCGTCCCTCCTAACATCGTCGAGAATAGATTGTAACGACTGCATTGCGGTATACTATATACCAGTTCAAACGTTTAAGGTCCAGAATCGGTCTCCACCCCCCCCCCCCCCGGCCGATGACTTTGGTACAAGAAACACATGGGAATAAAATCCCGTCCCCTTTTGATCATCAGGCATCTTTTGGATAGCCCTGATTGAAAGGAGATGCTGAACCGCCGCATCCATAAGGTATCTTTTCTCGATGCCATGAAAAAGCGGACAGCAGACAAAAGACATCGGGGGAGGGGAGAGGAATTCAATGGACAACCCAGATCTTAATGTGGCCCGGACCCATTTATCCGAAGTGGTTCTCTCCCAAAGGTTGGCAAAGAGGGCCAATCTTCTGCCTATGGGAGGATCCAGGATGCAGTTAATGACGGCGCAAGAATGAATGACCCCCTCCCTCACCAAAGGGCTGTTTACTTAAAGAAGGTCTACCTCTCATGGATCTGTCCAGATAACCCCGCTGTCTGGGGTAGAAAATACCTTGCATCCTAGATGAGGAGGAAGTGCCCCCCCCCATCATATCCCCGATATTGCGGGCGATGGGAGTATGGCAGAAAACATGACTCTCCCCTATGATAAGTGGTCAGCAAAATCTTCCACTTATCTTTGGTTTCGATGAGAAATGAATTCAATGGGTCTCCAAACAACACCCCCCCGAAAAGGGGACAGATGCTAAGCGCCATTTATGTCTTGCGTCGACTTGCCAATGGCAAAGCCAAAGCAAATGGCGAGCTGTTACAAATGAAGCAAGCGACTTTGCTGCAAATCGGGCCGCGTTAAGCGTTGCGTCCGCTGAAAATTATATAGCGGCGATGATCTTGTTAAGATCTTGCTTGATCCTTGTATCCTCTGGAGCAAGCTTCTCCTGCAGTTGTCATAACCATAGTAATGTTGATCTGTTGAAGAACGAGGCGGTTGAGGCCAACCAAATCGCCCAGGCCGCACCTTGATGTGCCCGTTGCAGCACCAAGTCCGATCGGCGTTCCTCGGGACATAGACCTTCATCAGAGGCGCCCGGAATAGCTGCGTTGGGAGTCAGGGCCACGATGGGCACGTCAACTGTTGGAACCTGCAGAAGAGAGGCTAAATCGGAAGCTACATTAAAATAAGCCCTATAAGCCCTCAGTTGGGATAGAAACAGAACAGTCCCGGAGAGACAGTTGGTCTGGGGTAACTGGGGCCTGATGTTTCCCCGCACTTCCAGGAATTGGACCGGATCCTTCTATGTCCGGTGCAGAAGCAGGCAAGCGGCTAGTGGCCTTGGCACAAATCTTTTTTAATGCCTCGTCCCTGCACCTCTCATCCTTTGAGGAAGAGGAAGTACTCTTATGCGGTTTATGCTGAGAACGAGAGTCCTTAACAGCCGTGTCCGGCTTCCCTGAGCCTTGTTGAGAAACAGTAGGGACGGAGGTTGCAACTTGGGCTGAAGATTGTTCGGCTATACTGTTTCTCCGCCCATGTTTTGATTTGCATAAAGCTTTAGGCATATTGATGCAGAAAACAGCCTTTGTTCAGAAGAGCCAATCACAAAAAAACTTTGGTCACTCTTCTAGATGTCCCAGTAATCAAGGGGAAAAAGTGATTATTTTGATAAATCAGAAGAGCTCTCCAAGTCTATGAGCAGAGATCAACGCTATCGCACGGAGGCGATTATAGCGGAAAACAAAATGTCGGCCACCCCTTGCCATCACCAAGGGAGCGCGAAACTTCGCCAATGGCTCACCGCTTGCCAACAGGTTAGGGCAATGGCTGTTACTAGACAAAATGGCGGTTGCAATAGTCGTCACCAAAGGGAGTACTAAACTCCTCAGCGAGATCGCCGGGTAGCAATAACAGCAGAGTTGGAGCATGAAGCTTCCAAGCGTCTTATGACAATAGGCAGTACAGCCGAGGCAATTTAAATAGAGCCAAGCTGTCGAGACCGAGGGGCCAGTCCGTCGGCAGTTCAAATCGGGCGCCAGCTGTAATTCAGCTCTAAAATGGCCGCTGACCACAAGCAGGGTAGCGCGAAATTCCACAAAGATAATGGCTATATGTCCGGGAGCGCAAAGCTCCACCAGTGGTCAAAGGCAAGACATGCCCAGGGAGCGCGGGACTCCATGATATCTCAGCGTTTGTTATAATTAACTAAACAGCAGAAACGGCAAGCTCTGACAGCACTAGAAATTGGAATCAGCTGTAATTCAGCTTTAAAATGGCCGACGGCAATAAACAAGGGAGCGCGAAGCTCCACACAGGGCAATCGCCGTATTGTCGGGAGCACGAAACTCCACTAGCGGTCTAAGGCAAACTGCCTTTAAGAATGCAAGGATCCACAATAGTGCTGTGTCCCTTGTAATTTTAGAATATGTAAAATAGCCAAATAGAGGGTGACAGCAAATAGCTGAAGTCAGCTACTGAGGGAAACTAGCCCCCCACATAGAGCCAGGGCTGCCAACTCACAAATCGATGTAAACCAAGTCCAATCCGATAGGCAAATTCCGAATCCAATATCCAAATCCAAAGTCCAAAGAACGAAAGTCCAAATTCCAGAATAAATCAAAGTTAGCTAGAGATACAATCCCACATGACTGTCCAGTCTGACGGACTGAGTCAAAAGCTGGGAGCCCCTAGCAACAAGGGCGGGACTTAACAACTATGACAGACTTAGTCCATCAATCTGAACAGAGGAGTACAACTGATCCTGGCTGCTGTCTCCACCCACAATGGAGAAATCTCTAGTTTTCTTTCTAAATTCACTTTAAGAATTTTCTGTATTAAGATATGCATCCTATCCAATATTTCTTTGCTTTATCACATGTCCACCATAAATGATAAAAAGCCCCTTCTTTACATTTACATTTCCAATATTCATTTGAAGTACCTTTATACATTCTTGACAACTTATATTTACAATTATAGTTTAATGTAAATTCTAAAGCTTTATTCCACATATTCTCCCACTGTTCAAACATTACATTATATCCAAAATTCCTTGCTCACGGAATCATACAATGCTTTATTTGTTCATTTTCCAGATTTAAATTCAATAACACTTTATAGACTTTAGCAATAATATGTTCACCACTACCACACAGTGGAGTTTCCAATCCATTTTTTAACAAAGTTAAACCCATGATTCTTTTTATCTAATTTAAAGTAAATCAGTTCTGAGAAGAAACATATGAACATATATGGGTTGCCTTGAACAGTTATTGGAAACTAGCTTTTATCTTACTCACTATATATATCAATGAAAATAATAGCAGGAAGAATCTACCAAATGCGTTTGGCAAAAAATGTTTTAATTGCCTTGTAAGAGATCCATGGGCTTGCATGAATGTAAGTATGGCTTTCCAAATCGAGCTTTAATAAGTTTAAAAGAGGAGTAAGAGCAATTCTGAAATGGCAAGTACTGTGATAGACTTTACCTTCTGGGACAATTCCATGATTTTCATACAGGTCTAAAGTCTGAACCAAGGGGTTCTGGCAGCCATACATGGACCTGAAGAAGCAAACTGCGCTGGCTCGGCGTGGATTGTTCAGTGTTTTGAAGAAATTGTCGTATTCGGCATCTGAGAGTGGCGTGCCAGCTAGCGATGGATCTTGTGTCTGTATGTCTGTTGCAAGAAGCCATTTTGAGAACGCTGCATAAAGGAAACAAGAACAAAAATGTGGCCATTTCCAAAAAGGTCTATGACAACTCGCCACAGCCAACTCACTGCAGGACAAGAGTTACACTAATATCAAAGAAATAGTGGAACAGAATGATTGAAGAAAGGATGCAAAAGGAGGGACAGAATGAAGTGTGGATGGCAAAACTTAAAATAAGTTTTTTTTTAAACTTTAAATAATTAAATAGAATGGTTAAATTGTCCCTCAGCGAGTTGTTCCGTGGCGAGTTGTTCCATGGCGAGTTGGCCGTGGCGAATTGGCCGCAGTGAGTTGGCTGTGGAAAGTTCTCCCATTCTATTCCAAAAAGGCATATACACCGCGATGAAAGAGATTTTGTTCTACATGGGTTTTAGGTAGGTTATTTATCCATTGTGCTTAGCTGCCAAGAATCAATCTTCTCTCTACATAATATGCTGAAATGTAACTCTGGCCCTGGAAATGGGATGAATGAACCATTCAGTTTTGTTTCTTTTCTGAATGGGAAAGAAAAAAGCATGACGAACCGCCCCCCTCCCCCCCCCCGAATAAGCCTGCCTTGATTTGGTTTAATTTAAGATGTGGTAGCGAGAAATTGATTCTGTTATAATACCCTACAACTTTGAAGACCATTCTTAAATTCACTGCTATTTCTCTTGACTTTGCCTACTTCGAAAGACTGACACTTGCTTGGAAATAAATCTCTCCGGATTTTAGGAGTGTAAGAACAGCATTCATTTTGGAAAGCGAAGAAACTGGGAAGATAGGTACAATACAGGTAGTCCTTGACTTATGACCACAATTGAGCCCCAAATTTCTATTGCTAAGTGACATAGTTGTTGTCAGGTTCCAAGTAACAGCCCATAGGAAATCAAAACTCCAAGGCAGGGTTCTACAAAGTATAGATTTATTAGGCCTGTCATATTGGCACAGCTGGTGAAAACCCGAATCTGAAGTCCCCGGGGTTTCCCCCACCCTTTGGTTCTAAAGTCCAAAGTTCTTCCCAACATTACACACATCCATCACATGCCCCAATCAGGTCTCTCTCCCCACCCTGGATGCCTCCAATCCATGCCCTTCCAGGTGCTGGTGAGAGTGTCCTTGGTTCTCAAAAGAAAGAATGTTATTTTGGCTGCATATCCCCCTTCCTTTCCCACAGCTCCAGCCAGCCTTGCTGTGGCAACCCTGAAGACGCTCAAAGATGACTTCAGGGTTGAGAGTTGTGAGTTTTGCCCCATTTTACGACCTTTCTTGCCATTAAGTGAATCACTTCAGTTGCTAGTTAGCAGTACAGTTGTAAAATGAATCTGGCTTTCCCATTGACTTTGCTTGTCAGAAGATCACAAGAGGAGATCACATGACTATGGGACACTGCAACCATCATAAATATGAGTCAGTTGCTAAGCACCTGAATTTTGATCATGTGACCCATGGGGATATTGCAATGGTCGTGTGAGAAACGGCCGTAAGTCCCTTCTTTCAATGCCTTTGTAACTTTGAGCAGACCCTAAATGAAGCGTTGTAAGTTAAGGACTACCGGTATCCATTTGGCTATTCCTCTCCTTCCTCATTCACTGAGCTGTTGTATCAAGAGTACCAAAAGACCAGTTTTACTTTGTTTCTTTTTCTAGTATTGTTTGTTATAATAAAGATTGGGTAATTTGAAGGATTGGTACCTGATGTTGTTTTCCTTTTCTCTCCTCATCCTCTCTTCATTGTATAAAATCTATATACAGTATGTCACAGAAGTGAGTACACCCCCTCACATTTTGTAAATATTTAAGTATATCCTTTCATGTGACAACACTGAAGAAATTACACTTGGCTGCAATGTAAAGTAGTGAGTATACAGCTTGTATAACAGTGTAAATGTGCTGTCCCCTCAAAATAATGCAACACACAGCCATTAATGTCTAAACTGCTGGCAACAAAAGCGAGTACACCCCTAAGTGATAATGTCCAAATGGGGCCCATGTTGCCGTTTTCCCTCCCTGGTGTCATGTGACGCTTTAGTGTTACAAGGTCTCAGGCGTGAAGGGGGAGCAGGTGTGTTAAATTTGATTATCACTCTCACTCTCTCATACTCGTCACTGGAAATTCAACATGGCACCTCATGGCAATGAACTCCCTGAGGATCTGAAAAAAACAATTGTTGCTCTACATAAAGATGGCCTAGGCCCGTGATGGCGAACCTATGGCATGCGTGCCACAGGTGGCACGCAGAGCCCTTTCTGCCGGCACGCCAGCCGTCGCCCCAGCCCAGGTCCGCACATGCGCGCACCTCCAATCGGCCAGCTGGTCTTCTGGTCTCTGCCGTGCATGAACGGAGGCAGGGCCTTCCCCGATATCTGCAGGTTCTACCCTCTGCAGATGCCTCTCCGTGGAAGGAAAGCAGGAGAAAGCTAGCACTCGATGGGGGGAGAAACTGCAAAGATCTGAGGAGGCACGGAAGGCAGGAGGCACTCAATTGGGGGAGGAACTTTGGAGATCGGGGAAGGCAGGAAAAAGCTACGATTCCATGGGGGAGAAACATTGGAGATTGTGGAAGGCAAGAGGAAGCTAGGATTCCATGGGGGAGGAACTTTGGAGATTGTGGAAGGCAGGAAAAAGCTAGGATTTCATGGGGGAGAAACGTTGGAGATCGTGGAAGGCAAGAGGAAGCTAGGATTCCATGGGGGAGAAAAATTGGAGATTGTGGAAGGCAAGAGGAAGCTAGGATTCCATGGGGGAGGAACTTTGGAGATCGCAGAAGGCAGGAAAAAGCTAGGATTCCATGGGGGAGAAACGTTGAGAGATCGTGGAAGGCAGGAAAAAGCTAGGATTCCATGGGGGAGAAATGTTGGAGATTGTGGAAGGCAAGAGGCAGCCCTTTAGTACAGCTAAAGCACAGCTCTTTAGTCAGATCTCTCCCCCCTACAAGTGCGGCTCTTTTAAACAGGGAAAGAAGACGGGCAAGAGAACGAACACGTTTAGCAGGAAACTTTGGAGTTGTCTGATCATCAGCCAAGCCATCTTGGCAGCGTCATGCGCCGGGCGGGGAACAGCTGTCTCACCAGGGAACAGGCCGGTACCTAGTTGTCCTCTGGTAAGAGGTATGCCGGCCCACTTGGAAAAAGGGGGGGGGGGGGGGGGGGCATGCATGCACAGTGTGTGCACATGTGTAGAGGGAGCGTGGGGGTTGTCGTGCACACATGCGTAAATGGGGGCGCACATTGCATTATGGGTTCCGGCACACGGGAGCGCGACAGCGCATGCGCGCTTAGACTTTTGGCACACAATGCCAAAAAGGTTCGCCATCACTGGCCTAGGCTATAAGAAGATTGCCATGACCCTGAAACTGAGCTACAGCATGGTGGCCAAGACCAAACAGCGGTTTAACAGGACAGGTTCCACTCAGAACAGGCCTCGCCATGGTTGACCAAAGAAGTTGAGTGCCCGTGCTCAGTGTCATACCCAGAGGTTGGCTTTGGGAAATAGACATATGAGTGCTGCCAGCACTGCTGCAGAGGTTGAAGGGGTAGGGGGCTCATCCTGTCAATGCTCAGACCATATGCCGCACATTGCATCAAATTGGTCTGTAGGGCTGTCGTCCAGAAGGAAGCCTCTTCTAAAGATGGTGCACAAAAAAGCCCACAAACGGTTTGCTGCAGACAAGTAGACTAAGGACATGGATTCCTGGAACCATGTACTGTGGTCCGATGAGACCAAGATAAACTTATTTGGTTCAGATGGTGACAAGTGTGTGTGGCGGCAACCAGGTGAGAAGTACAAAGACAAGTGTGTCTTGCCTACAGTCAAGCATGGTGGTGGGAATGTTATGGTCTGGGGCTGCATGAGTGCTGCCAGCACTGGGGAGCTACAGTTTATTGAGGGAACCATGAATGCCAACAGTGTTGTGACTCCGACCCCAGAGGCCGACTTATTGGAGGGAGAAGGCTCCGAACTTGAAGGAGTGGAGTGGGCCAGGCCTCCCTCTCCAGGACCCTCCTCTCTGGCAATGCCTCAGGTGTCTCCCGAAGGAGAAGAGATTGACCAGGAGCCAGGTATCTCCTCGCAGTCGGACAGTGACGGAGATAAGTCTTGGCTGGATCCACGCCAGCATCGGAGAGACAAGCGCACACAGCAGAAAAGGAGGCATGCCAGAGATTAAGCTGAGTCACTGGATCACACCCCACAGGGGATAAAAGGGGGTGAGGTGGCCATTCAGACTCCGTGACGGACAAAACTAACTACTAGCGAGTCACATTGTATCTTTGAAACAACGTTATCTGCCTTGGATTTAATACGGACTGGACTTGACAATTCTTGAACTGTGTGTATCTTGTTTGGGTTTATCTGACGGAGGAACAACCCCTCCCTCTATGAGTAAAGTTCTTGGCAAGCAGCTACTGGGTTGCTGCCAATCATCTTATCGAAAGAATTTGTTGTCTGCCAGTTTTATTCAACCCCTGGCTATCTGTTTGTGTGCGTATGTGAGACAGGGACAGAACAAACATGTACTGTAACATACTGAAGCAGAGCATGATCCCCTCCCTTTGGAGAATGGGCTGCAGGGCAGTATTTCAACATGATAACAATCCCAAACACACCTCCAAAACGACCACTGCCCTGCTAAAGAAGCTGAGGGTAAAGGTAATGGACTGGCCAAGCATGTCTCCAGACCTAAACCCTATTGAGCATCTGTGGGGCATCCTGAAATGGAAGGTGGAGGTGTGCAAGGTCTCTAACATCCACCAGCTCCATGACATCGTCATGGAGGAGTGGAAGAGGACTCCAGTGGCAACCTGTGAAGCTCTGGTGAACTCTATGCCCAAGAGGGTTAAGGCAGTGCTAGAAAATAATGGTGGCCACACAAAATATTGACACATTGGGCCCCATTTGGACATTATCACTTAGGGGTGTACTCACTTTTGTTGCCAGCAGTTTAGACATTAATGGTTGTGTGTTACATTATTTTGAGGGGACAGCACATTTACACTGTTATACAAGCTGTATACTCACTACTTTACATTGCAGTCAAGTGTCATTTCTTCAGTGTTATCACATGAAAAGATAAACTTAAATATTTACCAAATGTGAGGGAGTGTATTCACTTCTGTGACACTGAGTATTAAACAATTATCCAGCTGCAAACTTTGCCTTACTTATTGTAACTGAGAAACTACTCAATTTTTTTCCCCTCATCACCAGATAAAATGCTTTAACATGGTAGTAATACAGGAACGCAGAGCATAGAAACCCACACAACCACAAAACCCAGCCTCAAAGACCAACAAATGTAGCCTAGCTTAAAGCAGGAAACTCTCTCCATTGATTCTGCCAGAACTGAGGTTAAAACTTCTGCCTCTTCTCTAATCTTTCTGCAAGGAATACGTTACACAAGATTCATAAAAATGCTGAGCTGTGCTAATAGCTTTCAGTGACGCCACTGTCACTGAATGCATGTTTTCCTTTTCTCCTTGCCTCTAAACATATAGTAAAATTTAACATTTTTGACTTTCCAAGACATCTTTTTGTGTAAGAGGACTCAAAATTCCTGAGGAGAAAAGGAGGTTCTCTTCTCTTGGCCTTATCATGGGAGCAGGGGTTTCCATAAACAGGATAATAAAAAAGTCAACACACTGGGCCTGACAGTGAAATTGAAGTTTTTCCGAGAAAAGAGGACAATCAGAGTAAGGAAAAGGCTACACAAATGTTCTAACTCACCACAAATAAGGAGAACAAGAATAGCTGGATGCCACCCATTTACCTGGTGGAGTAATTGGGAACACACTTGTTTTAATGGAGGAACCATTAACAGGTATGCAGATAAAGGTAAGGTCTCAAACTCTTTCAATCTCTACTTTATTCAGCTTGCCAGGTGGCATCTTTGTTCAGACATACTGAAGAGAAAAGAGAAAATAGCATAGGAAGGATGAATGAAGAAGAGCCACCCCAATAGGCTAGGTCACAAGAGATGCTTGTGACATCATTGGGTGGCAAGATTCTTTCCAATATACTTTGCTGAAAACAGAGCTAAATCCTTCCATTATGTAACGCAAGTCAACCACTAGAGATAATCCTGGCAATCTTTTGGCTATCCTGTACGAACTTTTAAGTGATTCCCTTGTGTTAAATGACAAAGCTCTCTATGTCAAATTAGGTCACGCATGCATAAATTATATTGCTTGAGTATTATGGAAAACATTACCTAATCATCAGTATTGTAGTAAAATGCAACTACTAATCCAGCTGGCTTCTCTGGGGAGGTTTTGGTTGTCTCTTGATTTCATGGCTTTGAATACCTTTGGAGCCACTTATGGAAGAACCATGGAAGATGGTAATGTATGATTTTAATCTGTTTCAAATAGGAAATGATTACTGCTGTGTGTTCCTTCACATTAACGGAGGCTTTATTGGATCACATAATTACAATTTCAATGCAACCTCATTGTTAAAACCCACAAGGACAATCTTTAATTGGTGGCTGAGAGCCATTCACTTTCAAATGGCTCAATTATGATACGTTATTTTAACAAGGCATGAAAAATAAAAATATAAAAGGAAATAAGCACGTTTCATTGCCAAAAGGGAGAAAAAATGAGCTAAGTGGTAGGCATTTATTGCCTATAGAATGTTTGTCAGTTCCTAATATGAACATTAACTAGATGCCTCTCACCCTGCGCTGTACAAGTTTGTAAAATCAGGGTCACATTCTTACAATTGGTGTTAATGAAACTCAGAGTCCATGTATCACATATGGCCATGTGACTTTTTTGTGGCTCATTTTTTTGTAGCTCACAATACTGCTTTGTAGTCACCAAGACCCTGTCCAGTTTAAGATTAATACTCCCAAAAAATCCTACATGATTGCCAAACAGTGGATCTGCAAGCACTTAAAAACAAACAAGATTATGATCAGAAGCCAGCATGGATGCATTAAAAATAAGTTGTGCCAGATAAATCTTACTTTCTTTGACAATGCAACTAGATTAGTGAATCAAGGAAATGGTCTGTAGTATATTCAGTAAATTATGATAAAGTAGACCATGACCAACTTCTTAATAAACTGGAACAATATGTGATGGATGGTCCCACTATGAGATGGATTCACAGTTGGCTGAACAATTGTTGCCAAATATATAGTTCTTAATGGTTCTACATCCACATGGAGGAAGATATGCAGTGGGGTACCACAGAGTTCTGTCCTGGCCCAGGTACTCTTTATTATATTCATAAATGTCTCGGATGAAAGAAATAGGAAAGATGCTCATGAAATTTGTGGATGACACAAAGCTGGAGGCATTGCCAATACCTCAGAAGATCAAGGTTCAAAAGAATCTTAACAGATTTGAATATTGGGCCCTTAACCAACAATATGTGGCTCAATGGTGAAAAATGTAAGGTTTTCTACTTAGGAAAAAAAACATGTGCACAGACACAAGGCAGGTAGTATTTGAAGGATCTGGGTATCCTAGTAGTCAACAAATTAAACATGAGCTATCAGTATGCCACAGCTACTGCATGCCAATGCAGTTTTGGGGTGAATGAACAGAGGTGTATTGTCAAGATCATGGGAAGATAGCATTACCCTATGTTGCACTGCTCAAATTGTATCTTGTATACTGTGTCCTGTTCTGCTAATCAGAATACCAACAGGATGCTCAGATACTGGAAAAAGTGCAGAGAAGAGTGACAAAATGGTAAAGGTCTTGAAGGCTAAAGCTTACAAAGGACAGTTAAAGGAACTTGTTATGTTTAGTGTAAAAAAAGAGAAGGCTTCAGGGAAGAGATGGCAGTTTTCCAATGGATGCAGAGATGTCACAGGGCAGAGGGTGTGGATTTATTTTTTTGTAATGCCTGAGGGTACGACAACAACTGGTAGGTGACAAACTTACAGGGAGAAATCCAAATTTGAAATAAGAAATTTCTTGACTGGGATAACTATTCAGCTTCTTTCTTAAGAGTCACGGATGCAGCAGCAATGGAGTTTTACAAGCAATGTTTGGACACATGATCAGCAGTGTTCCAATATCTCAGGGGCTGCCACAAAGAAGAGGGAGTCAAGCTATTCTCCAAAGCACCTGAGGGCAGGACAAGAAGCAATGGGTGGAAACTAAACAAGGAGAGAAGCAACCTAGAACTAAGGAGAAATTTCCTGACAGAACAATTAATCAGTGGAACAACTTGCCTCCAGAAGTTGTGAATGCTCCAACACTGGAAGTTTTTAAGAAGATGTTGGATAACCATTTATCTGAAGTGGTGTAGGGTTTCCTGCCTAAGCAGGGAGTTGAACTAGAGGACCTCCAAGGTCCCTTCTGTTATTCTATTCTACTGTTTGGGATGATATGAGAATTCTTCTACAGGACATTGCATCAGCTAGAAGACCTCCAAAGAACTTTCCAAGCCTATACTTTTAAAAGACAGAGGGCACCAACTGGCAACCTGGCCATAGGAGGCAGTCCAGAAAGAAAAATGGTGGAACAGCTGCTCCTTTGGCCTCCCCCAGCATGTCTCTTGGCTCCAGTGATGCCCAGTCGACCAGGGCATCAGTACCCCAAGGCTTCTCAGACTGAATTGCTCTGCCCTCCTGAATATCTGTTCTTGTGCACCTCGACAGGTGATGCTTCTGAGGCCATCCTGGGTGAGAAGCCAGGAATAAAAGCCTCGGCAGGGAAGATGGTTAAATAAGCTGGAGCCCTCCAAGGGGAAGGAAGCAGAATATACATGATAAATATGTTTACTTCTGAACGGTGTACGAAAAAAAAAATTGTAATTATTTAACATTAAACCCATCATCAATGCAGATGTTTCAGGCTCCTAATGTGCGTACAAGGACGCTCTAGGCCAAATCTGTCTAAAAATAAGCCTTGCACGCCGCGAGGATTAACCCTCGAGTAAATTTATCTTCCGCGCAAAGCCTATTCAAAGTTAAAATGGAACTGAAATGCCGGCTGGGCTCCCAATTTGGCAGGAGCCGCGATCAAACGGCCGCCCCCTGTCACAACCCGCCTCATAAAGCCAACCGGAAGCGGCCGTGAGGCCCGCGCTCGCTCGCTCTGGAGAAAGCGTCCTTCTGACTGTTGTCCTCTGATTGGTTACGCGTTGAGCGGCGGCAGGTTGGCTAGCCAATAGCCTGCGGTGGCGCGTGTTTAGCGGGAAGTTCTACAAACGGGCAGGGGTTGTTTTTTTTGCGCAGAGGGCTCCCACCTCCTTTTTTTTTTTTTTTGCCGGCCGCGGGGGGGAAGCCAGTGACGTCATCTCGAGGAGAGAAAGTGTGTGTGTGTGTGTGTCGGAAAAAGCGCTTTGCGGTCAATTCGAAGTCACTTCGCTTTTTAGAGGGGCAGCAGCGACATAAGGTAGGTGTCGCTAAGGGGGGGGGCGTCTTGGGAAGTGAGAGAACTTTAAATGAATCAGTGGTGGTGGGCATGTTGGAAGTCAAACTCAGTTTATCCCGCAAATTTCACCCGGAAATTGCAAAAGAATTAGAAAACTTTGTTCTTTTCCCCAAGCTACAGGGAGTACCTCTCCCAAAATTCCCAGCCAATTTGAACTATCCTCGTTATCCTCAGTCATTCAGTCGGGTCTGACCCTCGGACACGACTGTAGACTCTTTTAAAAAAAAATTTTTTTTTTGATTTTTAAACATGACAAAACACAAAACAACCATCATCCATTACAATCACAGAAAGTGTGTCGATCCGTTAAAATCCTTTTGTGCTTATCCCATATCCAACATTTACAAGTTATTTAATTTCTCTTATTTAACAATTTTATATATCCCTTTATATTTATTTATTCAATTTATATTTTTATTTATTCAATTTATATGCCGCCCCTCTCCGAAGACCCAGGGCGGTTCATAATACACTCAAAAAATCACTATAAAAACACTTAAAAATTATTATCATTATTCTCATTTAACAATTATTTAACCAAGACTTAACTCCCTTAAGAAATCACTTCGTATATTTTATCATCACATTAATTTCATATTTCATACTTCATTTCCATGCCTTATTATCTAGCCATTGATAAAATAGATCCCATATCAAATAATATTGTTTATCTTCCTGTTCTCGAATTTCAAATGTCAATTTACTCATTTCAGCACGTTCCATAATTTTCTTAATAACTTCATCTTCAGTAGGTATTTTCTCTTTTTTCCAATTCTTAGCAAATACAATTCTAGCTGCTGTTAAAACATTCACAATTAAATATCCCAGTTGACTGTAGACTCTTAAATGTGTTATAATCTGACATTTATTGGGAGTCAGGCAGTGTATAAATGTAATAATAGGTTAAAGTGAATTAAAATTATATATATTTTTACTGCTGTAACCTAGGCTGTCAACTGGCCTAAATCATAGTTGATAATAGTTAGTTGATGAGAACATACTTGTTTAAACAATGAGACTAATAGACAAAGAGCAAGAAGAATAAATAATCAAAGTGCAAAACAATAAAAAGCTCAGGATTTAGCAGATTTATGTATAATTCCCACAAAAGGGGCCCTATAGTGGTTTGGAAGACCAAATCCTTGCAGGGATCAAAACAATCAGATTTATTGAGAATTGCAGAGAGTCAGTTTGGTTCTCCATGTGTGTTTGTCTAATGTTTTCTTTTGGAGTTATGCTAACAGTTACTTTATTTACGGGACCACCTACTACCACAAACAGCCTCCCACAGGCCGGTATGCTCTCATAGAGAGGGGTTCCTCCGGGTGCCGTCAGCCAAGCAGTGTCGACTGGCGGCCCCCAGGGGGAGGGCCTTCTCTGTGGGGGCACCCACTATCTGGAACGAGCTCCCCCCGGAGATACGGAGGATCCCGGATCTGCGCACTTTCCACCATGCTCTTAAGACCCTCCTATTCCAGCAAGCCGGCCTGGCCTAATTTTCTCCCCTTTCTCTTAAATTTTTAAATTGAAATTTTAATTTGTTTTAAATTATTGGGATTTTTAATTGTCTTGGGCTAAATTATTTAATTTGGTTTTAAATTGTTTCTAACTTTTGTATTTCTGTATTTTATTCTGTGCCTGTTCACCGCCCTGAGTCCTTCGGGAGTAGGGCGGTATACAAATTTAATAAAACATAAACAAACATAAACATAAAACATCTGTTTTAGGATTTTTTAAAATACGTTTCCCCTCCTTCTCAAGGCAGGAGATGACAGAAGAAACTGAAGAAAAGGCTAGAGTGAATTTTCCCTTTCCTTATACACCATATCCCATTCAAGAGCAATTTATGGCTAAACTTTATCAGGTCTTGGAGATGGGAAAGATTGGCATATTTGAGAGCCCAACTGGCACAGTAAGTCTCTTTTTTATTTTAACAGCCCCCCCCCCACCTCGCCTTTCTGTTATCAAGATAGTGGTGTGACCAGGAATGTCCCTAGAGAATGTTGAAAATAGTCCATATGGCATCCATGAAAGTGTGATTGAAGCACCACCTGTTTTTCATGGGCATTGTACCCATCTTGTCTTCATTGACCATACTCTGGGGACATACCTGAGCGTAAGGATTGGGAGCAATAGGGAGCAAGCACTTTGCCAGACGAGTAAGGGAGGGATGGTAGCTACTTGCTATCTAATAAGTGGTTATTGTGACTCTTACAGCTAGCCTAGTAAATGTTTTGTCAAAAATAAACACAAATATAAATGTTAAAATCTTATAGAATTTTATTTGGAAATGTTAACATCCTGTTTATGTTATGGTATAGAATAGAATAAAATAGAATTTTTTATTGGCCAAGTGTGATTGGACACACAAGGAATTTGTCTTGGTGCATACGCTCTCAGTGTACATAAAAGAAAATATACGTTCATCAAGAAACATAAGTACAACACTTAATGATAGTCATAGGGTACAAATAAGCTATCAGGAAACAATATTCTAAAACAATAAATATAAAGATATACCTGTACTTCCTCTTCCCTGTTAGGGTAAATCATTAAGTTTGATTTGTGGTGCTCTCTCGTGGCTTCGGGATTTTGAAGAGAAAAAGAAACTGGAGGAGACACAGCTATTAGCAACTAAAATCAGTGGAAAAGATGCAGAAGATGAACTTGGGAAAAGCAAAACAAAGCCTTTAGCCAGCCAGCCAGTGACCAGTGAACCAGACTGGATAGTGCAATTTGTGCAGGAGAAAAAAGAGCAGGAAATGATACATAGACTGAAGGTAAAAATAGGTTGCTTATTGGTCCGTCTTTATTCAATCCTGATGATGTATTCACAGATATAAATAGAAAACTATGTATTATTGACACCTGCCTCATTGTAATTCATGCTCTTCTTTTAGTTGCAACCATCAAACGCCACTCTTCTACCTTTTGCATGTGCTGTATTTTTAATAAAAAGAGCAAAGGAGGAATAGATATGATACTCTAAGAAGAAAATGGCATCTAAGAAAATAAAATTGATGCTTTAGAACAGAGCTCCCAAACTCGCGGCCCACAGGTGGATGTGTCACACACTGGCCACGCCCACTCCCGGTTTAGCGAAGGGGAAAAAAGTTGCAATATGTCACATGATGCTGCCGTGATGCTGCAGTTTGACAGTCCTGCTTTAGAAACTTAGAAATGAACATATTTGGTGGCACTCCAGTGTTTCATTAAAAAAAACCTATAATGTATTTCTCCCATCCTCAGATAGATGAACACAGTACAATGGTGGTATATGGGCCCTTAAAACCAGAAAAAGAGTTGCAGTTACAATTTAAAAACGTTTAGTAGATGATTTAATGCTTTTAAATTGGACAAAATCTGGTATTCCTTTGTTTATCTAAAGACTTGCTTACTAATAGATCTCATTTTACACTGATAACATGTTAAAATGAGAAATATAAGAACGTCTGCTTAAAAAACAGTTGGGGCCTTTGCTCATCAAATATTTGGCAACATGAATTGTTCAGAACTTCTGTAAAGAATCATTAAATGTTATATGTTGTGAAGTAATCTTACAGCAATATTTTTGACAACAACTTTCAGGTTCCAGTTGGTTGAATTTTCCATGCAATTCTCTGATTTCTTTAGGAAGAGCAGATCAAGAGGAAGAAACGAGAAGCATACCTTGAGCAAATTCGACACAATGTGAAATTGAAATATGTGTCTAAAAGGAAGGTGAGCATTTCCAGTGCTGGGAATAAAAATTAAAATAATTTTCTCACAAATAACATTGGAGATTAATGGATTGTAATGAAAAAAAAAGTTGATCCAAAGTTATCTTATACTGCCTCAAAGAAAACTACATGAACAGTGTATGAGTTGAGGATAATAGATAAATGAGGAATTTATGAACTGTAAATCTATAATTAGATAAGAATTGCTCTTTTGGAACTAGCTTCTATATTGATTTTTATTTGCAGTGACTACCCAATATTGTAGGCATAGCATATTAGACAAGTATTGAAAAATAAATTGTATTTATTATCCCTCTATCTATCTAGCCATCCATTTCCCACTGGTTTCCTGCATGAGCTAATTCCTCATTGAGAAAGGGTAAGGGCTCAGAAGACTTCCTAGGTATGACAGATTACCTGGCTTGGATTGACAGATGTTTTCCTTGTGTTTATTTTAGCGGATGGAGGACAAGGAGGCAGAGCACCTGCTTCAGCTCAGCAAGGATAGCTTATCTACCCCCACTGAGCCTGGTTCTTTGGAGCTTTCAGATGCGAGTGAGGAAGATCTCATCCTTACAGAATACGAAAGTGATGAGGAGCAGAAAATAGGAAATAGGTATGAATACTGGATTGACTACAAGAGCTTGAAGCAAGGAATTAAATTCTCTAGAGAAATATGTATCTCTCTCGCAAGTTTTCTAGCAAGGTTAGGTTAGCATCCATGAAAGCCTTTGTTTTTTTTTGTATTATTATTATTATTATTATTATTAATATTAATATTACATGTATTTATATGCCGCCATTCTCCCGAAGGACTCAGGGCGGCGAACAAGTTAAGAAACAAGTACAATAAAATCATAATTTAATCCTAATAATTAATTAGTAGTAAATAATAAAGCCCGGAATCAATCTCAGCCTATTTGTTTGAAAAGCCAAGTCTTCAAGTCCCGACAGAAGGAGTGGAGATCAGGAGCAGTCCGGAGCTTGGTAGGTAATTCATTCCAGAGGTTGGGAGCACCCACAGAGAATGCCCTACCCCTGGGCACAGCAAGGTGACATTGGCTCGCCGTCGGAACCCTGAGGAGAGCGGCCCTATGTGACCGAACAGGACGGTGAGAGGCAGGCAGGAGAAGGTCATGCAAATATCCCGGACCTAAATCATGAAGGGCCTTATAGGTGAGGACTAGCACCCTGAAGCAGACCCGGAGAACCACTGGTAACCAGTGCAGCTCACGCAGGAGGGGTGTTATATGGGAGTAACGAGGGGCTCCCATAACAACCAGTGCAGCTGCATTCTGGATCAGCTGGAGTCTCCGGGTGCATCTCAGGGGCAGGCCCATGTAGAGGGAATTGCAGTAATCCAAGCGGGAAGTAACCAGGGCATGAGTAATTGTGCGAAGGTCATCTTGGTCCAGGAAAGGGCGCAACTGGCGCACCAGGCGAACTTGTGCTAAGGCTCCCCTGGTCACGGGGAGTTTAGGTAGGAGTTGAGCTCAATTCAGACTCGGCACCAGGTATTCTGTCAATTTTTCCTCCCAAGAGATGATAGAATCTTCCAGTTATTAAATCCCAGAAGCCAAAGTTTGGGTGGATGATGATCACAGTGATGGTGAACATATGACATGTATGTCAAAGGTGACATGTCATGATATTTTGGATGACACGTCAGCATTTATTAACATTTGACAACAAATCTCAAAAGTATGCCCCATTCATGTGTGATGTCTTTGGAAGTTGTGTGAGATGGCCATAGCTTCTGAAAATTGTGCAAGAATGGGACTTGCTTTCATATGATTTCTGGGGGCCGCAAAAGCTGCAGAAGAGCATTCTCTAAAGCTGGTTCAAGAACAAAGTCCAGAGCTTTTGTTCTGTCCCGGCTCCCAACACAACAAACCCTTTGTGGTTAAATCAATGATTCCTTTATTAGGAGCACCAGCAAAAAGTCTCTCTCTCTCATACAGCAGGCCAACAAGTCTGTCCGGCAGGGAGATGAATAGTTGTCTGCCACACCTATTCATCTCTGCCCCCTGCTTTTTATCCCCAGAGCTAGGGTGGGGCTTCACTAGCAGTGGTGCCTCTTCCATCCCAAGGATCAGCCCCTTTCCTCTGCCTTCTGCTCATCTGTAGGTCAGGCACTGGACCCAGCTGCTCCTCCACTTCCTCATCAGCCACCTCCAGACCTTGGGGCTATTGACTCTCCATCTGAGGGCTGACGGACGGTCCAGGCTCTGCCTCTGTCTCTGACAACTCCATTCCCTCTTCCCCTTCAGTGCTCTCAGGTTGCCTTAATGCTGGCCCTGAGTCCCACTCCACCTCCTCATCTGATTCAGCTGTTGGAGGGGCCGGTGGCCGACAGGCCACAACAACTTCCATGGGTAGGCCATAGGGGCCTGTCCATAGAAAGTGAGCACTGCTTGAAGGTAAGCAGCACACAGCAGATCCTGGGGAATCACACACATGATTGTACTGTATTTTTTTTTAGATAAAGAAATGTATAATTAGTTCTCTTTTATTCAGGTGGTGTGTGTGTGTGTGTGTGTGTGTGTGTGTGTGACACATCAGCAGAGTCAGGTTAGGCATTTTCTAAATTTTTGATACACTGAGCCCACACTGGTTCGCCAACACTGTACTAGTAGAAACTGCTGGGGCCATTCTGAAATGTGTTGTTTAGAAGATAATCTGATTGGGCCAGGCCAGGGGTGAAATGTAAAATTTGTTACTACTGGTTCTGTGGGTGTGGCTTGGTGGTGGTGGGTAATGTGACTGGGTGGGCATGGCCAACTTTTTTTCTTTTAAACTTTTCAAAGCATTTTTTCTAATGCTTTGAAAAGCCTCTGATGATCCCAGCTGAGCTGCACGATCATCAAGAGGCTTTTTTTTAATTTTTAAAAGCATTTTTTTCGTTGGAAGAGGTTGTAGAAAAAATGCTTTTAAAAGTAAACAAAAAAAAAGCCTCTGATGATCGTGTGACTCAGCTGAGCATGGGTGTGTGTGTGTGCAGGGATTTTTGCTACCGGTTCTCCGAACCACCCGCCACCATCGCTACTGGATCGGGTGATCCGGTCCATTTCACCCCTGGGCCAGGCTAGTGTATGGCAAAAATATTTCTGAGCATAACTTTTCTCTTTTCACGCTTTAGGTTAACTGGAGTGGATAGTGATGATGACAATGATGATCTACAGGAAGAGCATGTTGCAAAGGCAAGTTGCAAGGGGTACATGTTTCTTCCTGCAACTGCTTTGCAGAGCCATCCATGGGAATTAATAGTAAATTGTTTGGACAGCTCTTTGCATAGCCTGCCAATTTTCCTTTATCTGTTTTAATCCTTTCCTGCTTCTTTCAGTTAAAATTTAACACTTTGTTTCATTTTTTAACATATAGTTAAATCAGGGATAGCCAATCTTTTTGAAAAGAAACCCCGAAGCAGCCTAATATCACGTTGCCAATATTTGCTGGCAAAATATGGAATTAAGTGATTCAATGTTTGTAATTGTCTTTTCCCACTATTTAAATGGTATATCAGTTGTCAAAACAGGTATTGTCTGAAACAAAAACATCATTCCAGGCAAGAGATTCATTTTTATCACAAAAATACTCCTAGCAATGACAATTTAGTTTTTCCCATCCAAACATGTCTTTTAAACCTCATTCCATGTCTTAGCTTAATTATTTTGAAATAACATACAGTTCATATTTGTCATAATGATATCCAGATAATAATTTACTACTCAAAAACCATTTTATTCATTAATTCTCTTTGATCTCTTTGATGATGTTAACATCATCATCTTTTGTTTGTTGATCTTAAAATCTGCTACCAAATTCTTTTAGTTTCCCCATTAATGTTTCAAATCAGGGGTGAAATCTACTTACCTTCCCAACTGGTTCAGAAGTGTACACGCCACGTGCGCGCTTAGACCCTCTGTGCATGCACAAACCCTTTTGCACATGCGCAGAGGATAAAAAACAGGTTACTTCCTGGTTAAAACCAGGAAGTAACGACCGGGCGGGTGGGCGGAGCCTCGCGCTGCCATTGCTACCAGTTCTCTGAACCACCGATTGCTACCAGTTCGGTCGAACCGGGCCGAACCGGGAGCATTTCACCCATTTCAAATCCCTTTAAAAGATCTTCCAAAAGCAAACACCAAGTTATCTGCAAGAGCCTTTAAGTTTATTTTAAAATCTTTACTCCAACAATCCTCTCGTCTTGTAATCTCTATTCAGTATTTCAAGGATCAAAATAAGAGAGTAGACAATGGACAAGAAACACTGTACTCTGTGTCATATAGGAATAGCACTTAGACTTATATACCGCTTCATAGTGCTTTTACAGCCTTCTATAAGTGATTTACAGAGTCAGCATATTGCCCCCAACAATCTGGGTCCTCATTTTACCCACCTTGGAAGGACGGAAGGCTGAGTCAACCTTGAGCCGGTGAGATTCGATCTGCTGAACTGCAGCTAGCAGTCAGCTGAAATAGCCTGCAGTACTGCACTCTAACCACTGTGCCACCTCGGCTCTTGATCCCCTTTTGTGACCTCACAACAAAGTCAATGGGAAAACCAGGTTCACTTTACACCCATTACTAACTTAACAACTGAAGTGATTCACTTAACAACTGTGGCAAGAAAGGTTGCAAGATTCTGTACTCCTGTAACAACCAAGCTCCCTCAATATCCATCCAGCCAACCAGCATTCTGACCGGGGAATTCTGGGAGTTGAAGTCCACACATGTTAATGTTGTCAAGGTTGAGAAACACTGCTCTTCATGAATAGGATTCTGATACCTTCTCAGTCTCTTTTGCAGATTTATTACTGCAGCCGGACACATTCCCAGCTGGCTCAGTTTATCCATGAAGTTCAGAAGAGCCCTTTTAGTAAGGAGACTCGTCTGGTGTCTTTGGGCTCTAGGCAGGTAGGTATCTTTCTCAAAGCAATAGAATGGAATGGAATTGAATACTTTATTTGGCCAAGAGTGATTAGACGCACAAATAATTTGTCTCCAGAAGCTACAGAAGCTATTGGTGTACATGCAAAGCACCAGAATAATAACTATAACAACAACAACACTAATAATAAAAGGGGGAGTAAAGAATTCAGATATTCCTTCAAGGAGCCATAACCTAGGTACTGCCACCAAAATGAGCAAGCTTGTGTTTGGTTTCCCTGTGTCGCCTCATATCTGTCAGGGTTCTGACGGATGCCCTAATTAAATCATGAGCCTTGAGCCAAGCTTCAAAAGAAATCCAGTTATTTATTAGGAGCTTCATGGCGGCACATTCCCAAGTGAAGCCAGCTCTGACCCTACATTATCTACGCCGCAATCTTTTCCCAGTTTCCCTCCTCCCCCCAGGGTGTGTCATCAGTCACATTTGCCAGTGGAGCAATTTCGCGGGTTGTAGAGACCACTCCCCTCTGGCCGCTGTAGGTAACCCTGAGATACAGCCTTGAGAACGATAAGTCTGGAATGTGCATCTGTCTTTGGCTGCCGTGCCATTTTGTCGGTTTCCCATCCCCCCTTGCTTATGGCAACTCGAGAGCAGGCCAGGGATGCTTTGCGAGTTGACAATATCATTTTTATTCCCACACAGTACACTTTCCTTCTGTTATCAGTCTGTATTATGAGGTGGGAATGCATACAAGGCAGAAGACTAATAATGCTTGACTAAGTGATGAAAGGGGAGATAAAAAGAACTCAATGTGGCTTTCCTTTGATAGTCCTCTGACTCAGGAGTTCTAAAATGCCAACCAAAAGAATAATTTTAAAAGTAATTTCAGGAACCTGAATTCAATGTAAGTATTCCGTGGCCAAACAATGCATCTTATTAGCAGCCTTGGAGACAATGCATTGTTTTCATGGTGAATTCTTATATTTGTGAATCTTTATACTTTTTTGGTTGTTGAAAGAAATTTGCATTGTTTTCTCCTTGCCCAACTGTGATACTGAAGGGAACACAGTGAAATTTCTTTTCTATCACCTTTCTCTCTCTCTTCCCCCACCTCTCTCTTTCTCTCTCCTACCTTTATTATTTTTACAATAACCCAAGGTGGCAAACATATGCACCACACTTTACTACAATTTTTGCCACAACAACTTTGTAAATGGTGTTGTGTTGTGATAGATTGATTGGCCCACTGTCATCTTGGATGATTTTCCTGCCTATGGTGGGACTTGAACTCATGGTTTCCCAGTTTCTTTAAGCCTAGTGCCTTAAACCAGGAGTCCCCAACCCCCGAGCCGCGGCGTACTACTGGGCCATGAGCTGTTTGGAACCGGGGTTCAGAAGTGACGGGCAAACGTGCATGAATGTGTATCCCCACTTGTGCAAGCGGGCAAGCACATGCACTCCATTTGCATGAGTGGTGGGTGCACATGCAGGCCGCTTGTGCAAATGGAGCGGCACATGCACTTGCTGGCCACTCCTGCGGAACCATTCCCTCTTGCCTCCTCCATCCCCAGCCCTCAAAGCCGGAAAGGTTGGGGAACTCTGTCTTAACCCTTAGACCAAACTTTAATAACTGGTTTAATAACTGATCTCTGTTTGCACCTGTCAATTACTTTTAGAACTTATGTGTGAACGAGGAAGTGCGAGGCCTGGGACCTGTCCAGCTCATCAACGATCGTTGTATGGAGATGCAGAAGAATAAACGTGGTACGTCAAGGAGTCCTGACGGATCCATGTAATTACTTGGCTGAAGCCAAATAAATGGAGGCTGTGTGTGTTAAAGTGATGGGGGCGACAATCTTCAACAAGAGGGAACTGCAAAATACTTTATAGAGGCACTCCTTGACTTATGACTGTAATGGAGCCTGCCAACTACAGTCATAAGTTGTGATGGTCATAAAATGGGTCATCATATGACTGAACAATTTTACAATCTTTTTTTTTTTTTTTTTGCAACAGTTGTTAAGCAAACAGTCAAAACTTTGGAACCAGGTCATAAGTATCTTGGGTGAGGTCCGTTGAAACTTTGTTGACTACCTGTACAGGAAGTCCTCGACTTACAACAGTTCATTTAGTGACCATTCGACCATTCAACGGCACTGGAAAAAGTGACTTACGACCGTTTTTCACACTTATGTCCTTTGTAGCATCCCCATGATCATGTGATCAAAATTCAGATGCTTGGCAACGGATTCATATTTATGACCGTTGCTGTGTCTCAAGGTCACGTGATCCTTTTTTTCAGCCTTCTGAAAGCAAAGTCAATGGAAAAGCCAGATTCACTTAACAACCGGATTACTAATTTACCAACTGCAGTGGTTCACTTAACGACTGTGGCAAGAAAGGTTGTAATATGGGGCAAAATTCACCTAACAGATGTCTCACTTAACAACAGAAATTTTGGGCTTAATTGTCATAAATCGAGGACTACCTGTAGTCTGGATTGCTCCTATTCAGCATTCCAACCAGCTAAGAACCTCGGTTGTGCGCTGGTTAGAGTGCAGTATTACAGGCTACTTCTGCTGCCTGCCGGCTGCCTGCAATTTGGCAGTTCAAATCTCACCAGGCTCAAGGTGGACTCGGCCTTCCATCCTTCTGAGATGGGTAAAATGAGGACCCGGATTGTTGGGGATATTATGCCGACTCTAAAACCACTTAGAGAGGGCTGTAAAGCACTGTGAAGTGGTATATAAGTCTAAGTGCTATTGCTAATTTCCTATTAGGGTATTTCACTTAGTTCTTTTCTTGGTTTTCGGTTTTTGTTTTCTTCAGCCCAACAGTAAATATTCCATGCCATCCATGCAGATGGTAGGACAGATATGGGGTTTATCCCGGTGGTGAAATCTAAAATTTGTTACTACCGGTTCTGTGGGTGTGGCTTGGTGGGTGGGGTGTAATGTGACTGAATGGGTGTGGCCATTTTTTTTTTTTTTTTACTTTTAAAACCATTTTTTCTATAACCTCTTCAGCGAAGAGGTTGTAAAAAAAATGCTTTCAAAAGGCTCTGATGATCCCAGCTGAGTTGCCTGATGGCAGAGGCTTTTTTAAAAAACGGTTTTTTTTCTTTTAAATGCCTCTGACGATCCCAGCTGAGCCGCGCGATCATCAGAGGCTTTTCTTTTTTTTTTAACTTTTAAAAGCATTTTTTCGGCCGAAGAGGTTGTAGAAAAAAATGCTTTTAAAAGTAAAAAAAAAAGCCTCTGATGATTGTGTGGCTCAGCTGGGCATGGGGGGCAGGGCAGGGATTTTTGCTACTGGTTCTCCGAACCACCTGCCTCCATCGCTACCGGATTGGGAGATCCGATCCGAACCGGGAGCATTTCACCCCTGGTTTATCCCAAGCTTTTTTCTTAGTAGTTTGCTAATGTTGGAATTTTTCTATACCTGTGGTATAGAGATGTGCAGACTATTTGGTGCTTGAAATATTATGGGTGAGCTGCTCTCTTTTGCTTACATTAGAGTCCAATTGGAGTCCTATAAGTAGCAGGAACCAGTAAGCAGTTGGTGGATGCTTGGATCCAAAAGGTGTAAAAGTTTCTCCAAAGTTCCTGTTTGGGGTTATGAAACTGGCTGTTTTCAACGTATTTAAAAATGCTCCTGAGTGTAAAACAGGCTGTTGCATTGAAAGAGATCTGTTTGGATGCAAAAACCCTTCCGAAATTCTTGGAACAGTCAATTTTTTTGTACTCAATACAGTAATTTCATGCTTGAAATGGAACGTTTTGTGCATGAACCAATTTGAATGGAAGCTTTTGTATGCCCTGAGGCACTGGTATTTGATCTCATGCAGTGTTAGGAGCACAGGAAAATATTTCTTTAAATTAGTTTTTTTAATTAGAAACCTGAAATCTCATGAGACCTTATGCAAGAACACCGTCCTTACGAGTCTTGTCTCACAATTCTAGCTTTCTTTTAGAGGTGGGGTGCCCTGACACCCCTTCATGTAGAGCAGTGTTTCTCAACCTTGGAAGCTTGAAGATGGGTGGACTTCAACTCCCAGAATCCCCCAGCCAGCAGCGCTGGCTGGGGGCTTCTGGGAGTTGAAGTCCACCCATCTTCAAGCTTCCAAGGTTGAGAAACACTGATGTAGAGAGTAATAATGATTGCATTATATTTAGCACTTCTTCAGAGGCGATCACAGTGACATGTATTGACTTTGGTTTTGATCAATCACCTCATATTTATGACAGTTGCAGTATCCTGGGGTCCTGGGATCACCTGACAAACAAAACGGGAAGCCAGGTTCACTTAACAACGGTGTTACTAGGAGCCGTAGTGGTGCAGTGGTTAAAATGCAGTATGGCAGGCTAATTCTGCTCACTGGCAGCGGTTCGATTCTCATCGGCTCAAGGTTGACTCAGCCTTCCATTCTCCGTGGTCGGTAAATGGAGGAGCAGATTGTTGGGGGAAATAGGTTGACTGTAAACCGCTTAGAGAGGGCTTGTAAAGTACCGTGAAGCGGTATATAAGTCTTAAGTGCTATTGCCAACAATTGCACTGATTCATTTAACAACTGTGGCAAGAAAGGCCATAAAACTCACTTAACATCTGTCTCAGCAACAGAAAATTACCAGTACTGGAAAAAAGGACAAACAAACAAAAAAAGTGTGCATGATATCACAGAAACAGTGAGGCTGGTGGGATTTGTGGTGTAAAGAGTCAAACTCAAGGCCTGGGGGCCAGATTTGGCCCGTGTGGCCGCCCTGGAAACAGCGAAGGACTGGCCTGCGATGCCTCTGCCAATGAAAATGGAGCTCAGGAGGGTTGCAGGAGGCCATCGCAGTCAGAAACGGAGCTCAGGGGCCCGTTTTCGGTGGCAGAGAGTTTGGGCCACCACAGGCGCTCCCGACATGAGTGATGTTGAGCTGGCCATGCCCACACTGGCCATGCTCCCCCCCCCGCCCCTCCAAGGTCAAACACAACCTTGACGTGGCCCTCAATGAAATTGAGTTTGACACCCCTGGTATAAAGCATACAATATCTCATTTGGGATTAAAGGATGGTCCTTGTACACCAATCACAATGCTGTCTTAACAATGCGCCGTATGGCTCTGAAAATTTTCCCCTCTGATGATTTGCCTTCAGAAAAGAATACAGGCGCAGAGACAACCGAGGGCAAGAAGAGACGTGTGAGCCGAACGGTGTGTCCATTTAACTCCTATGAGCCTCTGCAGCTGCTTCGGGATGAGGTGCTGGTAGAAGTGAAAGATATAGAGCAGCTGGTTTCTCTGGGAAAAGAAATGAAGGCCTGCCCTTATTATGGAAGCCGATACGCCATCCCAGCTGCTCAGGTAGATATTTGTGGATCTCCTCTTGAAGCTTTGCTGACGTCTGGAAACAGATGGCTTCGTTTCTTTGTGTGTAGCCTTGTACCCTTTCGCTAAATCACTGCGGGATGATTAGGCTGGTGCTTTTTCATGCCTCAAAAGGTTGATCAATTTTTTTGGGGTTTTTTTTTTTTTCAGTTTTCCTAGTTTTCCTCTTCTTTTGTAAATATTCTGTCCTTGGGACCTTTTACGTATTCTTTGGGATCACCTGGGTTTGCTTTGAAGTCATACACAATAGGAATTTAAATGGATTCTCAATTTTTAAGGAGCAAACTTCATATTTGCAAGCACGGTATGGTGTAGTGGTGAAAAGGGTGGATTATAGAACCGCTCCATGATAGAGATGGGTGGTCTATAAATATGATATGATATAAATATGAATATCACCTCAGGTTTTAATTTCATAATATTGTACTTTCATGGTTTATTTTTTATTCTGTTATACTAATTTTTAAAAATCATTTCCCCCAGAGTAGTCCCTGCAAAAAATTTAATAGATGATAGATAGATGATAGATAGATGGATGGATGGATGGATAGATGGATGGATGGATGGATGGATGGATAGATAGATAGATACCGTATTTTTTGGAGTATAAGACGCACCTTAGTTTTTTGGGAGGAAGATGGATAGATAGATAGATAGATAGATAGATAGATAGATAGATAGATAGATAGATAGATAGATTCAAAATGATCGTTAGCTAAGAAATAGGGTGATTTTGAATCCGTGATTATTTTCCTGGTTAGCCTACTTTGTAGACATGGAACAACATATGTCTTTTTGAACTCCTAGAAAAATTGTGAAATATAAAATCTAACAAATAAGATTGAATAAATAAGACCCAACTCACTCATAGTCTACATGTGAAAAGATATATCTATATATCTGTTTATATATGTTTTTCTTTCTTTTTCGTAGGTTTTATGTGTATGTCTCTTTAGCCAGGTTCTACCTACGTAAACCAAGATATTATGCAGCCCTAGTTCAGTGAAATCACAATTCACTATATATAGTTTATATATATATATATATAAACAGATTTTCCAAAAATCTGTTCTGCAGATAAAGATCAGAGTGGTGGACTTCCCATTGAATGAATGCCTCTGTCTGTCCCGCAGTTGGTGGTGCTGCCATACCAAATGCTTCTGCATGAAGCTACCCGAAGGGCATCTGGGATCCAGCTGAAGGATCAGGTAGTGATAATTGATGAAGCTCACAATCTGATCGATACCATTGCTTCCATCCACAGTACTCAGGTGACCGGTTCGCAGGTGAGTCAGGCCTGAGGGCCTCTCTGCTACTACCTGTAGCTTTCTTGTTGTGGTCTCTGCCCATTGCCATCTGTGTCAGGCTTTTGTTAGAGACTGTAAATTACTCCCAGTCTCTGAGATAATAATAACTTTATTGTCATTGTACGTGTATACCCAGTATACCCATACAACGAAATTCACTTAACACCCAAAGACCAGGTCCAACAAACATAATAATCCCCAAACACACTCCCACCCACCACAAATTCCCCACCCTAAACCACCCAAACATCCACACAACAGACCAAGTGGATGTCCCTGAATACTGGTGTTCTGTCCCCACCCACACGCACACACACCAACAGACGTTCAAGAGTTAAAGACCAAACCAGCCGGCAGAATCCTTTTCCTTATGATAACGGAACTTGGCAACAACCTAGTGGCTGCCTGCCAAAAGTTTATTATTTACAAAGAGGAGAGATAACTTCTCCCCACTCCTGGTACATCAAAAGAAACAGCTCAATAATTACGGAGTCAGTCAAGTCCAGAGATAATCCAGCAAAAGTTTGGCAATGCAGAATGGCGTGGAAGCCTTTAGCTTTGTTCGTCACAAGGTTTAACTGGCCACCACGCTCCCTTTTATATCCTGTGGGGTGTGGTCCAGTGACTCAGCCTAATCTCGGGCATGCCTTTTCTTCTGTTGCGCGCGCTTATCTCTGCGACGCTGGCATGGATCCAGCCAAGACTCATTACCCTCATCACTGTCCATCTGTGGCTGCGTGGACGTGCTTGGCCCCGGCCCTATCTCTTGCCCTTCGGCGGACACTGAAGGCATTGCCAGAGAGGAGGGTCCTGGAGAGGGAGGCCTTGCCAACTCCTCTCCTTCACTCTCGGAGTCCTCTCCTGCCGATGACACAGGCTCAGGTAACGGAGCCACAACTGGTTAACATAAGCTTGGCATTCCACAAGGAATTCCATCAAAAGAAACATTGACCTACAACCAGCCTACGAACCCCTCAGAATTCAAATCAACCGCACAGCCAACCAACTCACACAACCCCTTCCCCCAACTAGCACTTCACCTCCCAATGACCCTCACTCGGTGTGACCTCCTCATCACAAGACCTATCATAAGAACCTCACTTGATGCAACCCACACCTGACCCATCATCACAAGACCCTCACCTAATGTGACCTCTCCATCACAAGACCTATCACAAGAACCTCACTTGATGCAACCCACACCTGACCCATCATCACAAGACCCTCACCTAATGTGACCTCTACATCACAAGACCTATCACAAGAACCTCACTTGATGCAACCCACACCTGACCCATCATCACAAAACCCTCACCTAATGTGACCTCTCCATCACAAGACCTATCACAAGAACCTCACTTGATGCAACCCACACCTGACCCATCATCACAAGACCCTCACCTGATGTGACCTCCCCATCACAAAACCTTTCAAAAGACCCTCACTTGGTGCAACCTATACCTGACCCATCACAAGACCCTCATTTGACGTGACTTCCCCATCACAAGACCTACTGACCACACCAAGCCCCAGAAGAACACTGACACTGATATTCCCTATAAACTCCATTGAAGATGTTACCTAGCCTGGTAATGAAACGTTTGGAAACCAACCCACAAGCTAGGAGAAGGAATCTCCATCCTAACACACGGAATTATGTCACTACATGTCTTGTTTGTGGGCTTCTCAGAAGCCTTTTGGGCAAAATCATGCTGGTCAGGATAGGCTTCAATATTGTCTTATGTTTTATATCCGTTTTAGCTGTGCCACGCCCACTCCCAGCTACTTCAGTACATGGAACGTTACAGGTGAGTGTTTGCGACTCGAGGTTCCGGTTTATGGAAATGTGAGTTGGCCACGTTTGCATACAACAGCAAATTGAGGTTTGCTACAAACTACCTGGCAATTTCTAACTTTCCACTCTTAGATGGACAGGAGGAGAAACACCCATAGCAAGTAGTTTTATGATCTAGATTGGACCTGCACAACATATAGGTAGTCCTTGACATATGACCGCAATGGAGCCTGCCCATCGTGGTGGTGACTCAAGATGGTCATAAAATGGGTCAACCACACGACTGACCACAATTTTATGACCTTTTTTGTGGCAGTCATAAAGTGACTGTGACAGTCATTAAACTAATCAATAGTTGGCTATGGACCAGTTTTGCGAAAACTAAGTAAATGCTGATTTTTGCCCAAACTGTAATAAAACATAGTCATGTGACTGCAGGATGTTGCTAATGGTCGTACATGATTGGCTCTTTGGAACCAGGTCATAAGTACCTCCAGGAAGTTTTATATAGCTTCGAATGGTTGTTAAGCAAGCAGTCCTAAATGGAAGACCACCGATCTAGGCTAGAAATATAAAATACACGTGGTCCTCGTCTTACAGCCTTTCGTTTAGCGACCGTTCAAAGTTACAACAGCTCTGAAAAGCGACATGACTATTTCACATTTACGACCGTATGCAGTGTCCCCACGCTCAAGTGATCAAAATTCAGACGCTTGGAAACTGACTTGTGTTTATGATGGTTGCAGTGTCTCTGAGTCATATGATCCCCTGTTGCGACTTTCAGACAACTAAGTCAGTGGGAAAACCAGATTCACTTTACAGCTGTGTTATTAACTTAACAACTGAAGTGACTCATTTAACAACTGTGGCAAGAAAGGTTGCAAAATGGGGCAAAACTCACTCAATAACTGTTTTGCTTAGCCACAGAAATTTGGGGCTGAATTATGGTGGTAAATTGAGGACTACCTGTATAAATAAATCCATAAATATAGTCCGTGGCTCCATATAGCCTGCGAAACAGCCTTATGCAGCCTTCTGTTTTCTGAAAACTCAACAAAATCCATTGCCACTAAACATGACTGCTGCCACTTAGTTTTTTACAGTCATCTCTGCCCTAAAAGCGTGCTTGCCAACCCCTTCCAGTTCCTCCAGGTTTAACCAACGCTACCAGCTCCAGGATTGCTGCCATACCACCAACCACTATTTGGCATGCCAGTTATTCCTTTGTGACCCATCAGCATTTATAAGGTCTCCGTGTGTCTCAATCCCGTCCATTGAATTGTGTAGCTCTGGTCTAGACAGTGGGGAAGTTCTGATGCAAAACTTATCTTCTTAGACCTCTCATAGCAGAAAGTGGATTATTGATCCTTTTGGGGAAGAACCTCTATGGCAAAGATACTGAAATGCTGACCATTTTGGTATATAGCTGCATATGTTCTTTGTCCTTCACCATAATTCCCTCCATGGGCCATACCAGTTATATTCTTAAGTTCAGCTTGGCTGTCTTGCTTTGTGTTACCTTTGCACATTCATATATCATCTGATCTGTTTTAGGAAACGCTTGAAGGCCAAGAATTTGATGTACATTAAACAGATTTTGTTTTTGCTGGAGAAGTTTGTGGCTGTCTTGGGAGGTAAGAACAGAGTTTTGAGGATCATCTTTCCGATACTGGCTACTTTCTGCAAGGGAATGTATTGTGGCCTACCAGCAGTCAGTGGAGCTGGTGGCAGACTCAGACAGTGAGGAGGTTAGGGAGGAACATGGGCCAGTCCTGGAGTCTGGGGAAGGCTCTGATGAGGGCTCTACGTCGGAGGCAGAGATGGGGCCAGGGCCCGCCTGACAGTTGTCAGCTGCCTTCGGAGTCGGACATCAGTGGGGCAGAAGAACAGCTGGAGCCTGTTCCGAGTGTGCGCATACGCAGAGCTGCCAGGAGAACGGAACAGCTAAGGAACAAGGGTCAACTCAGGAGTAAAGCCACAAGTGGATGGTGAATGGCCCCTCCATAGGGAATAAAGTGCAGTGAAAGAGGAATGGAGTTTGCAGGAGACAATTAGTTCGCTTAATTGGTTCATGACTCTCAGAGACTCCTTGCCAAGTTTTGAAGATATCGGCCTGGCAGCTCTCCAAGCCAGATAAGGTCTGTGACTGTAAATTCTCCCTTGAAAGACTTTGCTGGATGTGAATGAGAGGAATTCACAGTAACTTAATAAAAAGGGTTTTTTTGTCAGGACAAGGAGTCTGCTTCATGCTTTTGGGAAGCCTAGGTCAGAATAGAATGTCCTATCAAGCTCAATTCCATGGTTTATATGGCTGACTACATCAAAGAATGTAACATTAATTAATTTGACAGTATATGGACTGCAGGAATATCAGTCTGTCTTTAGGAAATGTAATAGATTCTTGAAAAACAAAACAGGATTCCAGCAACCCCGTTTCGTCTCCCCCCCCCAAGCCAATCTTCTTTCGATCATTACCATCTTTAACTTCGACGAGCCTTTGTCTCCTTCCATTTTTGCTCATCCCGAACAGAATAGATACAAGCACAAAGCAAATGAAGGATGAAATTCTGATTTTAAGCAATGCTGTAATGGAATTACTGCTTGCCTTCTGATGCCTGTTTTTCCCCAGGTGTATACTTCTGCTCTGGATAGATGCTTCATAATTGCATTAGTGTTGCATATTTACAGATCTTGCTACCAGCTTAATGTACTCAAAGTCTAAATTGCTTGTTTTAATTTTTTTTTTAAATGCATGTACCAATGCAATAAATGTAATGACAAGCAAATTGGAAACTATTTGAAGTGTAAGTTTGAATTAACATAGCAGAAAAAGAATACTTCCCTCTTAGGGGATGACGTTATGTTAAAAACAAAAAAAAAGACTAAAATGTAAAAAGCCAGTGTTGTGGTTGTATAGTTGCTTACTGGCCAAAAGCCTACAGTTGATTTCTGCTATGTATTCTTTGACTGGATTCATATAACTTGCTTAACTAAGTCAGTTAAAAACCTAGTGCTTCATTTTTACAAGCGCTATGTTCTTTTTTATTTTTTTCCCCAAACTGGTCTTATGACTGTTTCCAACACTTAGAACCCCGAAGCAATCCCACCAGTGGTGGGTTCCTCCTGGTTCGGCCCGGTTCGGCCGAGCCGGTAGCGGTGACGATATGACGTCACTGAACCGGTTCTCTTTGTTCGGGAGTTGGGCCCTCCTGCCCCCTCCCCCACATTATTCTTATCTTTTATTTGGCCCCGCCCCCAATCTATTCGCTGCCTCCCGAGTCCCAGCTGATCAGCTAAAAGGAAAAAAACTGTTTAAACTCTTGCCGCGGGGCTTCAAAGGGCCGCCCTACAGCTGATCAGTGTTAAAAGGCAGTGTGATAGTAGACCAGTGCACTCCAAAAACAAATCAGTAGACTGGTACAGCTCTGCAAGCAGTTAAAAGCCTGGTAGACCCGTACCTCTGCTAAATCCTAAAGAATTGTCACATTACCATCAAACCATACCCACAAAATAAGCCACACCCACAGAACCAATAGTAAAAAATTTTAGAACCCACCCCTGAGCCCCACAATCACATGATCAAAATTCAGATGCTTGGCAACTGACTCATATTTATGTATCCTGGGATCATGTGATCCCCTTTTGCAACATTCTGGTTAGCAAAAGTCAATAGGGAAGCCAGGTTTATTTAACAACCGTACTACTCTCTTAATACCTGCAGTGATTCACTTAGCAACTGTGGCCAGAAAGGTTATAAAGTGGGGCAAAACTCACTTCACAACTCTCTCGCTTAGCAACAGACATTTGGGGCTCAATTGTGGCCGTAAGTCGAGGACTACCTGTGCACTAGAATTGTAGTTTAGCCAAATTGTCACATGGAAATAATTTCATAATCATTATTGCTCTGCTTTTCATGTTCTCCAGGAAAGGTGAATCAGAATCCAAATACGCAGAGCATACCAGAAGCAGGTAAGTTGTGGGTGTGATTCCAGAAAATGTGTAAATTGTCATGGTTTGGCCAGCATGGGGTTTAAGAAGATGATTGTACCGATTTGAAAAACTTTTATCTGTTGCAAACAAACCAGGTTTTTTTTTTGCTCCCCTCCTCCCTCCCTCTCTCTTTCTCTCTCTTCCCCCCACTCTCTCCCTCTCTTTCCCTCCTCCCCTCCCTCTCAGGGGTGCAGCTGAAATCCATCAATGACTTTCTGTTCCAGTGTCAAGTTGACAACATCAATCTCTTCAAGGTAAAGAACTGCCTGACTTGCACCAAAGTTTAAAATTTGGGAGGGAGCCAAAACTTAAGTTAGAGCTCCCAAAGAGATGTTTCCTTTTTCTTTTTACACCCTGATCAGATTTTGCCTGGATTAGTTTTTTATTAATAGCTAAGACACACTTACTGTATATGTATAGGCAAAAAATCATAGTGTTGGAACTAAGGACATCTCTAGAAAATAATTTGGAAAAAGCGATTTGTCCATTGCATGAAACCAGTACTTACGGCTGTTGATTAGCACAGTCTCTCTTTTTCTCAGGCTGCAGTACGAGCCTGAGAAATTTTCGCTTCCATTAAAACCTCACTCTCACTCTTGAAGAAATCTCAATATTTTTTTAGGCTGGTTTATAAGGCTGAAAAGAGATAGCAATACCGATGCTAATGAATAGCAGAATTGCTCTGGACCTGCTTGAGATCTGCAGCAAATGTGTTACTCTGCATACACACACAAACACACATATCATGCGTATAATATGAATGTAGAACATTCGTAAACTGGCCTGTATTTGTTTTACCTGGGTGACTTATCTATAAAGATGAGAGGGACAGTATTTCATCCTCGTCTTGAAGCGACAACCCAGCACTTCAAGAACTGGGAACTTCAGTTCTCCGGGATTATGATTCTTGTAATACCACGTATTAGTCATGCTATTGTTGTGGCCCGTCAGCGGCCTGTGCACCTGGTAGCTGATTCCGACAGCGAGGAGGCTGGTGTAGTGCTGCGCCAGCAGCCTGTGCAGCTGGCGCTTGAGTCAGACAATGAAGAGGCTGGAGAAGATGTGGTGCCAGAGGCGGGGATTCAGCCAGGGCCTTCAGAACCTCCAGAAGCTCCCATAAATGAAGAGGAAGAAGAGGAGGAGCCTCTTCTTGATGCACGGGCGCGCAGAGCTGCCAAAAGGCAGGAGTGGCTCCTCAGGAGGAAGTCTCCTCGAGAGTAAGGCTTGGGGCTAATTGGCCACTCCCTTAGCCTATTTAAGGAAGGACAATTTGCAGGGAACAACTTCGTTCACTCTCCTTCGCGTCCTGATCTTAGTTCTCTTATCAGTTTCCTGCAAATTGCTTCTGAGCTTTCTGCCAATCATAGTAAGATTACGATGATTTATTCTTTGGATTTTGGTAGGCTATTAAGAAAGTTAATTAACAGCCTTTGTTTGAAAAATTTAATTTAGTAAACTAAGGTTTGTACAGACTTTGTGTGTGCTGCATTCTTTGGGGTCGGTAGCTGGGGCAGAACAGCTATCTACACTTTATGGAAGTTGTAATACAAAATATCCTGAACTGGTTTGCACCGAATGTCTTCTGATTATCTATACCTAGGACCATTCAAACTGCAAACTGCCAATAGGCAGTCTCATTGACCAATCATCCAGCCACTGTTCAAAATTAGGATGGGGCTGAACTAGGGGGACTTGGGCTAGGAGAAAACAATTGCGACAGGTCCTCATAAATATGGCCATTGCAGGGTCCCCACAGTCACATGAATTACAAGGTCCTGCAGTCACATGATCACCACTGTCAGCTTTGAACAAGCAAGTCAATGGGGAAGCTGGCAGGAAATCACAAGTGGCGATCATGTGACTGCAGGATGTTGCAACTACACAGAATTCACCTAACAGCAGCAATCGGGACTGCCACAACTTCCATCTTAAATCAGTGCAATTATGTGACATTGCATTTTGCCTATGTTGCTTAGCAACAAAGTTGCTGGTCCATAGTTAAGCAAGGACTAAATTATTTACATGTTAGATTTCAGCTTAATTTTGAATATAGTTTTAAAAATGATTATTTTCTATCTGTACCTGAATAATCAAATCATCGTGGCTCCTTTCGTGCAACTTCTATTTGTTGGATGATCTTCTGGCCTGATTTTTGTTAGTGAAGGCCTTGTTAGCCTCCCCTCCCACCATGGAAATTGCCAATCTGTAGGAAATGTACTGGTTCCACAAATGTCTATGGAGATTCTCAGTCATCCAGGTCATAGTTGTCCAAAGGTGTTTTTTTTTTTTTTTATTAAAGAGGCAACTGGATTTTCTTTGTTTTTCTTTGAAGATGTTTCTCTTCTCATCCAAGAAGCTTCTTCAGCTCTGGAAGGAGCTTGAATGGAGCTTGGATGAGTTGAAGAAGCTCCTTGGATGAGAAGCAAAACGTCTTCAAAGAAAAACAAGAAAGTCCAGTTGCCTCTTGAATATGCACCTTTGGAATACTGATTCCACAGTTTCAGAGTGAGTCCCAGGACAGAACTAACCTTGTATCATTTGTTGACTGATTGACCAAGTAACTAAACAGTTATCAGATATAATCTGCACAGTCTGGTTGCACTACAGGCCTTGAATCATTGCGGTGTCTTGAAAGTTGCCAGTTGACGGTGAGATGCCTGGATTATCAAGCAGACAGCTTGGATAGAAAGGGAAGAGAAAAATTAAGCAAAAGGATGCAAGGAAGATGGTCCTTTGAGTAATCTTTAGGACAGAGGTTAGCAACCTGCGGCTCTGGAGCCTCATGTGGCTCTTTCACCCCTCTACTGCGGCTCCCTGTCACTCAAAATATGTGTCACAACCACCAATGTGCGACACCCGCCGGCATGCGATTTATTGAGCTTTTCAACCCCTGGTAGGCCAACCATGGATAAATCCAAGAAAAGAAAAATTTCAGAAGAAAACAGAACGTTTAATTTCAACTACATATGCTAGTTTTGTGGTCGCTCAAGAAATAGTCAGGCACGGGAAGGGTATTGTGGCTCCTGGTGTTTTTTTTTCTTTGGGAAATGGGTCCAAATGGCTCTTTGAGTGTTTGAGGTTGCAGAGTTAGGAGTTTCTGTAAGGAGTCACGGAGGAATTCTAAGAGAACTGAATACTCTGCTTCTAAAAGGTGTAGGTTGATAAATTGTGATAATCTGGCAAAGAAGGTTAAAACGAGATAATCTGTTAAAACAATGCGGAACCTTTTAATGTGCATGTTCTCTTTTTTCAACAGATTCAGCGTTACTGTGAGAAAAGTTGCATCAGCAAGAAGGTAGTGCATCAACAGAGCAGAATAAAATTCTGGTTCCATGTCTTTTAGGTGCCTTTTTGGGGTCTGTTTTCAGGAATTTTTCATAGGATATGGGAACATAAATTGCCTTAGATTGAGTCAGATCAATTGGATTAACCTGGTTAGCTATTTCCTATACAATGATGCAAGAATGAACCGTGCAGGGCTTGTGAATAGTTGGGATACGGCTCCCCAAAATTTCAAAAGATGTTACCTTACTGTAACTTTTATTGAGTGGCAGGGAATATTTATTAAATCTATGGTAGGAAAATAATTATGAATTAATTTAAAGGTAAGCCAAATATATTGAATTAAATCAAACTTACGGAGTACAGATAGTCCTCAATTTACAACCACATTTGAACCCAACATTTATGTTGCTAAGCAAGACGTTTATTCAGTTTTGCTCATTTTATGACTTTTCTTGCCACAGTTGTTAATTGAATCTGCCTTCCCCATTGACTTTGCTTCTCAGAAAGTCAGAAAAGGTGATCACATGATCCAAGACACCACAACTGTCATAAATATGAGTCAGTTGCCAAGCATCTGAATTTTGATCACTTGAGCACAGGCATGCTTCAAAAGCCGTAATATAAATAGCAATAGCACTTAGACTTATATACCGCTTTACAGTGGTTTACAGCCCGCTCTTAAGTGGTTTACAAAGTCAGCCTATTGCCCCCAATAATCTGCGTCCTCATTTTACCCACTTCGGAAGAATGGAAGGCTGAGTCAATTTTGAGCCTGGTGAGATTTGAACTGCCAAATTGCAGCCAGCAGAATTAGCCTACAGTACTGCACTCTAACCACTGCACCACTGAGGCTCTCATAAGAGTGAAAAATAGTCATAAGTCACTTTTTTCAGTGCCATTGTAACTTTGGTCACTAAATGAAAGGTTGTAAATTGAGGACTACCTGTGTGGCCATTTATAAACCAACTGAATCTCTTCATGGTTTCTGGGGTATGTATCACGGTGAAATCCAGCAGGTTCTGACAGGTTCTAGAGAACCGGTAGTGGAAATTTTGAGCAGTTCAGAGAACCGGTAGAGGAAATTTTGAGTAGTTCTGCTTGTGTGGGAATGGAAATTTTGCAATATCCTTCCCCCAGGAGTGGGGAGGGAATGGGGATTTTGCAGTATCTCCCCCTGGAGTGGGGAGGGAATGGGGATTTTGCAGTATCCTTCCCCTGCCACGCCCACCAAGCCATGCCCACCAAGCCACACCATGCCCAACAAACCACGCCCACAGAACCGGTAGTAAAAAAATTTGGATTTCACCACTGGTATGTATGTTAGTCTCCCTTGGGAAGACAGATTGTCTGAATGTTTTCCTCTTTCCTACTTTTGCAGGATGATTAGGGAAACGAACAGGGAAAAATTTACAGACCATATTTAAATAATATTTTCTGGTCTTTTTCCTGTCTTGCAGCTCTTAGGATTTGTGGAAAGATACAGAGTTTTCAAAACCAGCAAAGACGACCAAAAGTTGACTGGTTTGCAGAACTTTTTGCAAACCTTGAACAAGAGACCAGAAAAAGAAGGTGAGTTTGGCTACAAAGCAAGTTTTGGCAGTTTTCAGAATTGGAAGGAGATGAGCTGGAAGAGGCAAGACATCAAAATACAGGCAGTCCTCGACTTACAACAGTTCATTTAGTGACTGTCTAAAGTTACAACGGCACTGAAAAAGGTGACTTACGAGCGTTTTTCACAGTTACGACCGTCGCAGCCTCCCCATGGTCACGGGATCAAAATTCAGATGCTTGGCAACTGGTTCATATTGATGACCGTTGCTGCGTCCCCAGGTCACGCGATTCCCCCTTTTGCGACCTTCTCACAGGCAAAGTCAATGGGGAAGCCAGATTCACTTAACAACCGGGTTACTAACTTATCAATTGCAATGGTTCACGTAACAACCATGGCAAGAAAAGTCGTAAAATGGGGAAGAACTCACTTAACAAATGTTTCACTTAACAACAGAAATTTTGGGCTCAATTGTGATCATAGGTTGAGGATTACCTGTAGTGATGTTTCAGTAGGTTTGGAAACAGGTGGATCTATGAAGCTTCCCTGTTCTTGGGTTTTTTCATTTCATTTTAGTGGAAGTAGCACATCCATGTATTTGCACAACTTCATACGGAGTTGTGTCTTAGGACAAACATTATTTTCCATTAGAAGAATGGAAAATAATATATAAAATGAAGATATAAATAATATTTATAATAATATACCGTATTTTTCGGAGTATAAGATGCACTTTCCCCCCCCCTAAAAGAAGGTGAAAATTTGGATGCGTCTTATACACCGAATGTAGCCCCGCCCACCCGCCAGCCCCCACCCTTTTGGAGGCTGCAAATGCAGCCTCCCAAACAGAGAGCCACTCAAACAGCCTCCGAAAGTCCGTTTGAGAGGCTGCCTTTGCTAAGAGAAGCTCCTTTGCAAACGGAGCTTTTGGAGGCTGCAAACGCAGCTTCTCAAACGGAGAGCCTCTCAAGCAGAATTTCTTTTTTCTTATTTTCCTCCCCCCAAAATAAGGTGCCTCTTATACTCCGGAGCATCTTATACTCCGAAAAATACGGTAAGTAATACATAGAAAAAGTCATTTTTCTACCTGTCTCTTGAAAGTCAATGAAGAATCAGAGTTTGACTTTTCTTGCTACAATAATTCAGTTTTTGCAAGATTGAGGGCCTATAGATATATGAGCCATATGTCATTGTTGTCTTGATAAATTGTTCTGGAACAAGAATGGAAAAACTTTAGGAAGAATGTTGATTTAGTCTCTTGTCGGAAGCCTTTTTTTCTATTAACACGCATTTAGACAAAATATAGTTTATTGAATAGCCCGAAGGCCTTTTCAAACAAAACAGAAAAGAAAAAGGGAAAAGATAAAACAGTTACAAAAATAGCAATCTAAAAATATATGATAGATGACATTAAAATTTTACCATATCAAATTTCAATAGCTAAGTAGCATTTCAATAGCATTTAGACATACAGTAGCTTTCAGGGTTCCAAGTAATGTACCTATAGAAAGTAGAACTCCGAGGCAGGCAAATTCCTCAAAGAACAGTTTTATTAGATATATCATATTGGCACGACTGGTGAAAGCCGACTCTTAAAGTTCCTGCGGCTGTCACCTAATTAAAAGTAAAAGTTTCCCTCTTCCCCCAAGTCACTGATCACGCTGTCCAATCCAGATGCTGGCTGGTTGCTTGGTTATTTCACTCCTCCTCTGGCCTGTGAGAATGTCCTTGGTTCCCACAGGAAAATGTTTATTGTTTTGGCTACAAAACCCCATCTAACTATTTCCCCTTTCCCTCTGTTGTGTGGCAACCCTGAAACCTCCAAGACTGCCTCAGCCAGGTTAATTTCAGGATTGTCAATATCCCCAAATGAAAATAAATTGGACATGCTACTTGTGTGGTTGTCGAAGTAAGGAATTGGGAGATGATGTTCTGCAGGGGAGAAGTTGCCTTTCCAAATGAGAAGTTGTCTTTTGATCTGCAGGGGCTCTGCAAAGTTCTCCCGGGGAAGGTGAGGACGACCACCCCAAAATGGCATCTCCGCTAATGCACATTGAAAGTTTCCTCGCTGCGCTCACAAATGCAAACCAGGATGGGAGAGTCATTCTCAGCAGGCACGGTATTGTATATCCACATTTGATTTGCTTTCTTTAAAAATAAGTACATCTGTATATATTGAATTATTTCAAGGTCGTTCCATTATGCGTAGTCCTTATCTAGTGATCACAGCTGGGATTGCCAACTCCATCACTAAGCAAACAGGGTCGCCAAACAGAACTTTGCATGATTGCAACTGGCTTACAACGTCACTTCCCATGTGGTCATTAAGTAAGTCGCTCGTGGTTAAGTGAGAGATAGCAATAGAAATAGCACTTAGACTTATATACCGCTTCACAGTGCTTTACAGCCCTCTCTAAGCAGTTTACAGAGTCAGCTATTGCCCTCAACAATCTGGGTCCTTATTTAACCTACCTTGGAAGGATGGGAGGCTGAGTCAACCTTGATCCCGGTGAGGATCGAACTGCTGAACTGCAATCAGCTGGCAGTCAGCACAAGTAGCCTGCAGTACTGCATTCTAACCACTGTGCCGCCACAGCTGTCTATCATGGGGCTGTGGCTTGTAATTTGACCACCAGCTTCTCCATTGATTCTGCTTGTTGGAAGCCAGTTGTGACACACACAGATAGCAATTATGTGACCTTGAGATGTTGGAGTTGTCATCAATGTAAGGATTGATTATAAAGTTAATTTACTTTTATTTATTTATCAGGTTTTTAAAACCGTCCCTCTATCTCACAAAGTACCTTTCTCAAGTCCATCGTGATTTGAACAGTCGCTAAACAGGGCAGTCATTAAGTGAGGCCTGTCTGTATCTCCCCAAATGCCTTTCCCGGAGGAAACATCTGAAAGTAAAAAAATAAATAAATCCATATTTATGTAAACACTTGATGCTTTTTCATAGGAGCACTTACCTAAACAATTCGATTGCAGTTTGAGTCGTGGAGATATTATTCTCCAGGCGTTGCTAAATTATGGCACCTTATTCATTTTGGATCCTGGGATTGTAGCAATATTAAGGAGGTTGTGGTATTTATTGCTGCTTACTAAATTACTTTATTAAGTATGGTCGTAATTTAATCAAGTGTTGTTCCCATATTAGCCCCTGGGAACCAACCCCAGTTGCTTTTGTTGTCCTCTTTCTCTAAGAACATTTTCATTGTTTCATTTGAAGCATCCAGCAAATTGACAGGCAGGGGTTGGGGGGCAGAGGGTGGGTGGGGTGGAAAGCCCCCTTGCATTTCAGGCTGCCCTTCAATGTTTTTCATTGTTTACCTGCCAACTCTCTGAATGTGCTGATTTTTCCAGGTACTTTAGCCCTGAGCAGCCTCAAGTTCCTATTGCTCAATCCAGCTGTGCATTTTGCCACGGTGCTGAAAGAATGTCGAGCTGTGGTCATCGCTGGGGGCACCATGCAGCCGGTGAGTAGCGAACTGGGCTTCCTTTGGGTGATGGGCAACCGCTTTTAAATAGCAAATGATTGAAGGAGCTGATTTCTCGCCTCCCTTCTTAGCAGACGTTCTCCAGAATGTGCTGGAAGGAGGTCTTTCTTGTTTAAAAGCAGCAGAATGAAGGTGTCGCTTTGAATCTTTGGCTCGTTCTGCCCCTTCCCCTTGGCACCATTTTGCTTTTAACGCACCTGGCAAGCCTTTCACAGTGTTTACAGCAGTGTTTCCCAACCCTGGGAAGTTTAAGACGGGTGGACTTCAATTCCCAGAATTCCCTGGCCAGCAGGCCTGACTGGAGAATTCTGGTAGTTGAAGTCCACCCATCTTAAAATCCCCAGAGTTAAGAAACATTGATTTAGAGGTTTAGCTTCTTGGTCTAGTCAATCTGCCTGCTGTTTTTCCCAAGTCCTAGAAAGGTCCTAAAACTTTGCATTTAACAGTAAACATTTAGTTTTCCCATAAAGTAACAGGATTTCAGTAACACCATAATGGCAGATTCCATCATGCTTAGAGTACTGCTATCTAGGTTTGAGTCTGGTGGCATCTGAATGGTGGTCTAGAACAGGGCTGTCAAACCCGTGGGCCGCGGGCCGGATGCATCACATGCTGGCCACGCCCACGCCTGGTTTAGTGAAGGGGAAAAGTCCCGATACATCATGTGACACCGCCGTGACACCGCGAGTTTGACACCCCTGTGTTCTGACTTAGGCTTCCCAAGAGCATGAAGCAGACTCCTCGTCCCAATAAAACCTCTTTTATTTAAATTAAAGGGAAATTCTTCTCCAGCAAAGTCCCGACAAACAATCTTTCATGAGATTTCACAACTACAGACCTTTATCAGGCGTGGAGAGTGGCCAGGTCGATATCTTCCAAACTCCATGCTGTAGCAGCAATTACTTGGCAAGAAGTCAGGAATAGATCTTCACAGTAATGAATTGAACTAATTGTCTCCTGCAAACTCCCCTTTATTCGCTCCTCTTTATTCCCTATTGGAGGGGCCATTCACCGTCCACCTGTGCCTTTACTCCCAATTTGGACTTTGTTCCTTAGCTGTTCCCTTCTGGCAGCTCTGCACATGCCCACATCGGGAACAGGCTCAAGCTGTTCTTCTGCCCCACTGATATCCGACTCTGAAGGCAGCTGATAACTGTTGGACGGGCCCTGGCCCCATCTCTGCCTCAGACGCAGAGCACTCATCAGAGCCTTCCCCAGACTCCAGGACTGGCCCATGTTCCTCCCTAACCTCCTCACTGTCTGAGTCTGCCACCAGATCCGCTGGCCGCTGGCGGGCCACACACCCTGGTCTAGAGGAAAGATTATAAAGACTAACTCTTAGCATATAGATCTAGTGATTTGTTGACCATGAAAATTCATGTTGTATCATGGACTTGGGTGGTTTATTCTTTAGCTTGCAATCTTCTTTCCACAGAAGTTGGGAGAGGTACCGTAGTTAGATATTGTTTTTTCTGTAAAGCAACTCTTTTCAGGGACGTAAGGTGGGAAGTGAGATCAACTTGTCTGTCTCCCGTCCTTTCTTTGGTCTATTCATAAAAATCCCAGTCTCTCTTTGGTTTGTTAACTACATGAAATTAATCAGTACTATAATCATGGTAGCTTATCAAGAAATAAAATCGGGAGGCAGGATCTGGACACAAATGGCCTTTGAAAAACATCACACAACATGATTCCTCCCTTCCATAACATGGGAGCATGTTATGGGGTCCCCAGAAAAGCGAAATTGATTGTCTTGCTACGTATACGGGGCTATGAGAGCAGAATTTGGATCTTTTCCTCCCCAAGAGTTGAACACTCTTGTGTACGGCATGCTGTGTTAAGTCTTCTAAAAAAATGGATTTTCACTATGTGCCTTGCAGGTGGCTGATTTCCGGCAACAGCTGCTTTTGGGTGCTGGTGTTGATGCTGACAGGATTGAGGAATTTTCCTGTGGTGAGTCCTGGGAACAGTGGTTGCCCCAGATCTTTTGAGTCATGCTTGGGTGACCTTTGGGGCAAAGTTTTGCCTATTCAGTTGTGTCTTTCCAAATGGTTGCATCCATTGGGGTGGGGGTGGGGATGAGGCTTGTTGGTCTTGTTGTCTTTTATCTTTGCTTGAAAAGTTTATGGGTAGAATCTGCCACCTTCAGCCACTGCACCTGCATTCTACTCAAACCAGGGGTCAAGAGAATGACTTTTGCATCCTTACATGAAAATAGGTTTCCGTGAATTGAAGGAGGGCTTCCTTTCTTATAAATATGCATGTGGAAAACCAGGAAATATTTCCATGAAAAAAACCAGATCTACAGTACAGATAGGCCTTGACTTAGAATTGTCTGTTTAGTGACCATTTAAAGTTACAATGGCACTGAAAAAAGTAACTTATGACCGTTTCTCATCCAGCCATTGCAGCAACCCCATGATCCCATGATAAAAATTCAGACTCTTGGCAATTGGCTCATAATTATGATGGCTGCAGTGTCCTGGGGTGGGGGTGGAGGGTCAGGTGATCTCCTTTTGTGACCTTCTGACAAGCAAATGAAGAAGCCAGGTTCAATTTAAGGAGCCTTGGTGGTGCAGCGGACTAAAGTGCTGTTAAGTAGCACTTAGCTGCCAACTGCCTGCAATTACTGCGAGTTCAAATCTCACCAGGCTCAAGGTTGACTCAGCCTTCCATCCTTCTGAGGTAGGTAAAATGAGGACCCGGTTTGTGGGGGCAATAAGCTGACTTTGTATAAAAAAGAACACCGCTTGGGGGGGGGGCGAAAGCCCTACTAAGCAGGTATATACAAAAGTATGAAGGCTAGTGCTTAACACATTGTAAGCCGCCCTGAATCTCCGGAGAAGGGCGGCATATAAATCGAACCAATAAATAAATAAATAATAACAAACAAACAAACAAACAAACTTAACCACCACAATGATTCACTTAACAACTCTGGCAAGAAAGCTCATAAAATGGGGGCAAAACTCACTTAATAACCGTCTTGCTTAGCAATGGAAATGTTGGGGTCAATTATGGTCATAAGTCAAGCATCACCTGTAATTGCTACTATAGGAAATGTTCCTATCTCTAGTGCCAGCAAGTCAGTCAAGTCGTCCCATCTCGATTTTTTCTTGCAACCTATTCCCCATTTTCTAGGTTTCCTCTTCCCATGGTCCAGGGGTCTCCAGCCTTGGCAACTTTAAGACTTGTGGACTTCAACTCCCAGAATTCCTCAGCCAGCAAAGCAAAGCTGGCTTAGGAATTCTGGGAGTTGAAGTCCACAAGTCTTAAAGTTGCCAAGATTGGAGACCCCTGGACCCCATGGTCAAAGATCCTGTACCTGTTTACTATTGCCAAACCTTTACTCATTTAAATTTTTTTTTTTGCAAATTTCCATGTTCTCTGGCGCCTTCTACTAGTTCATTCTCTTGACTGCTGTTTCAATTACAGATAGACAGTTAGAGAATGAAGTCCATTATTAAGGTATCTATGATGAATTCTAGAACAGGCACAGCTTAGGTTAGTAGTAGTACAAAACCTTTTTTAAAATTATTTTTCAAGAGGATATTTTACACTTAAATGATCATGATGAAAATGGGCTTTTTTCTTTTTTCTTCAAATGTTTCAGAGTAAAAATTAGGGTAGAATCCGTAGAAGATGCTAAAATGGTGAGTTCTGGAATAGTGCCAAGATGGTTTCTCTTCAAAGCATCTATCTGATCAAATTTCCCCAAATTTTTCCATTTCACACTTGAGTTGTGACTTCCAGCTGTCACAACTGACAGTAATTGCTCCTTATTTCACTTAAATGATGAGAGGCAGGTCCCGGTGTTTGAAAGATCTGTTTTTGTTTTACTAGAGCCCAGAAGTCTATTAATGAGAAGAAAGTGTGAAAGAATGTCTTGCGGAAGATTCAATTATCAACCGTGGCAATCTTTGAGCTTTTCTTTTATAATAAAAGTACAATGACTTCTTGCAAAACATTCAGATTTACCATTGAGTCCGAACTATGTTCTGCCTCCTGCTTATCAAAATCTCTGCTATGTTCCTGTCATCAGTTTTATAAGCCTTGACTTTGATTGCAAATAACAATGGTTAAATTAATACCAGAGCAATTAACGTTTGGTAGACCAATTCAAAGGTCCCCTAAAATGTGCAAAGTTACTGTGATTTCTGGATTTGACAATCAGGCAAGCAGAATGTGGCAAGTAAATCAAAATTTTAAAAAGTATTCAGCATTAAAAAGTTCCAAAATGAGGAAGTCTTGATAGGGCGTGTCAAATTTTTCAACTTTGAATTTCCAAACACTAGGCGTGCTCAAAAGTTGTGACATGTTTCACAAGAACAGTCCTCCACTCCTCTGCTTGCAACAAAATAAATGTTTTAAATGTTTTTACTGGTTTGTCATTTTTTTTTAATTACGGGGCCAAATTTATATATATCTTTTTAATTGTATTTTAATGTTTGTAGTTTATGTTTTTATTTGGCTGTACACCGCCCTGAGTCCTCAGGGAGAAGGGCGGTATATAAATTTGATATAAAATAAATAAAATAAATAAAAAATACCTTATGCTACCAGACTTGAAATTCTGGGCCTAGAAAACTTAGAACAATGCCGTCTTCGGTATGACCTAACCCTAGCTCATAATAATTATCTGCTACAATGTCCTACCTGTCAATGACTACTTCAGCTTCAACCACCACAATACATGAGCACACAATAAATACAAACTTAAAGTGAACCGCCCCAAACTCGATTGCAGAAAACACGACTTCAGCAACAGAGTGGTCAATGCCTGGAATGCACTACCTGACTCTGTGGTTTCTTCCCCAAACCCCCAAAATTTTAACCTAAGAGTGTCTACTGTTGACCTCACCCCATTCCTAAGTGGTTTGTAAAGGGCGTGCATAAGCGCACCAACGTGCCTACCATCCTTGTTCTAATGTTTCCTCTACTTGTATCTATTTTATGTATTCAGTTCATGCTTATAATTATATAAATTACCTAATACGTTCTTGATAAATAAACAAACAAACATGCCTTGGGGATTGTAAAGATATTTTGCGTACTTCAATTTAGATGTGCTTGGTAAGTAACTACATACATATCATAACTTTTTAATATTTTGTTTATTCTGCTGGTGCTCTGAAGGTTTCTGTCAAATGGAACAACATACGCCAGACTAAGAAATTAATGCAATATAGATCAGGATTACTTTTATTGTAATAACTGTAGTACAGACTTTTGCAGATCTGAATGTGCTTCCCCTCCCTCACTTTTATTTTCCCGTGAATCAGGGAGGGACTTGTCTGAGATGTTTTCTCAAGTTATATTTTTAGCATGGGCTCAAGTCCTGCCTATTTCACCCTTGTCTTGATACCATGTTTCCCTGAAAATAAGACCCTGTCTTATATTTTTTTGAATCCCGAAATAAGCGCTTGGCCTTATTTTCAGGGAGGTCTTATTATTTTGGGGCATGTGGAGCAAGATGGGGCTCCTCTTGCCATCTTACCTGATTTCCAGCTCTGCGTTTAAATATTTTTGGGGACGGCTTATTTTCAGGGGGAAGCTTATTTTAGCTCATGCTCTCAAAAGCCCAATTGGGCTTATTATCAGGGGATGTCTTATTTTCGGGGAAACAGGGTAGTGACAATGTCTCAACTCATTGTCTTGAGTCTTCCTCCTGTCATTTAAGGCCATTCCCTCTTTCTTTCTACACTCATTGCACCGAGTGTTACTTGGAAGAAGAAAGCTGATCTCATGGGACTATATTTGTTCAGTCCTTGTAGTTGAGTATTTGGTTAACTGTACAAGAGCTAGAAAGTTTAGCCTTTTAGTATAACAGGAACAGCAACTTGTTCATTTCTTCCTTGGATTCTTGTGTTATTAGGTCATGTGATTCCCCCTGACAACATTTTACCCATCATCCTCTGCAGTGGTCCGTCCAATCAGCTGCTGGAATTCACTTATGAGAAAAGAGGCTTGCCTCAGTTGGTCAGTATTTTTTTTCCCATTACACTTCATTGCCTCTTCAGGCAATGGAGTTTCATTGAGTTCACCGGGTGGGCATATTGTCCCTTTGATATTGCTTAGGCCCTTCCTGCTTGGTTTCTGTCACTTGGGTTAGACAGTTGCAAAGGAAATGGATCCTTTTTTGTGGTTTCCCCCGCAGTTAACCTGTTACTGGACACCACAAGTAGCTCTCCTTGTGGCAATCTGATTTACTGTATTTCCATATCAAGGGAGAAGCCATCCCTAGAAGCATAGATACTCACAAACAGGAAAAGAGGGAACCTGGTGTTTCATAGAGTGGATTGGGAAGCTAGCGATAATGCCAAGTTGTCCTTGACTTATGGTCATCCGTTTAATGACAGTTAGAAATTATGACCTCAGCAAAAGTGATTTACAACCTCCTGTCAAACTTATGACTGCTGCATCACCATGAAGTGTGTGTGGTGAAGGGAGGGGGGGGAAGAGAGAGGGAGGGAGGGAGGGAGGGAGAGAGAGAGAGAGAGAGAGAGAGAGAGAGAGAGAGATGGATGATCGCAGTTCACAAAAATGATCACATTTTTGATGGTTGCAGTGTTTTCCAGTTATTTACAACAAGCCAAGTCAATTGGGAAAGTTGGATTCACATAATCTCTGGTAAAAATGGTTGTAAATGCAAGCATGGTCACGTGATGACTCGCTTTATGACTGCATCACTTAGCGACTGAAATTCCAATCCCAATTTCAGTCATAAATCAAGGACTACTATATAGGATGGTTCATCTTTGTTTTGACAGTGGGACCTGAAGCTTTGAAACAAGGCAGGCCACCTTTTTTTAGGATTAATTTCAAAAGCCTTCTGAAAGAGATCAGCGCAGATCTCTGAGTAGAGATGTTTGCTCCTTCCTAGCAGCCTGAAATTGTGGGAAAGAAGGAATCGAGCAGAAAAAGAGAGGAAAAACGGTGTCGGAAAGAGCCGGATATCCTGTGACACCAGATTCTGGACTCCGCTTGCTTCAAATTTGTCTATCCTGCATCCGCCAACTGATTCTCTCTAAGCATAAATGTACAGCCTTTAGGTTCATGAACTCCCTTCCAGCCCAGCCCATTCCACCCCAGGAAGGAAATTGTGTTCTCAAAGAGAACACACAGCCTTCGATAGAAGAAAGATTTTCTTTCATGGCTGAAAGTAGACATTGCTGGTTTTTCTCCATTTTTCAGATGGAGGAGACGGGGCGGATTCTTTCTAACTTGTGCAACGTTGTCCCAGGAGGTGTGGTGTGTTTCTTCCCTTCCTATGACTATGAGAAACAGGTATACATGCACTGGGAAAAGACCGGATTGCTTGCCCGACTGGCTACTAAGAAAAAGGTAATTGGGTAAGCCAATGCTGCTGGTGAAATCGAACATACGGCAATTATTGGCTGATTCCTCTCCTCTAGTTTTGTTGTAGCGATAGCAGTTAGACTTATATACTGCTTTACAGTGCTTTACAGCCCTCTATAATCAGTTTACAGAGTCAGCATATTGCCCCCAAGAATCTGGGTCCTCATTTTACCCACCTCGGAAGGATAGAAGGCTGAGTCAACCTTGAGCCTGGTGAGATTCGATCTGCCAAATTGCAGTCAGCCGGCAGTCAGCAGAAGTATTCTGCAGTGCTGCACTCTAACCACTGTGCCACCGAGGCAGTAATGCGTCATACTGGCTCTGCTGCCTGCACAGTGAAGTGGAGAGGCCCAATCCTTACCCGTTGACCTAGCCATGATACTTGCTGGGTAGCTGATCGTTATACTTGATATATCGCTTCATCATTTCCCAAAGCCAAGAGACTGGCTTATTTGTGTAGGAGACAGGAAAAACTACAAGCCAACCTGAAATTTGACTGTGGGCATCACCAAGACAGCCTTGGATTGTTCAAAAAAAAGGAAAGCAGGATCAGATATAATAGTTAGCTCTTGGATGGAAGAAATCCCTGGGCTGTAGGCCAGACTGGGAAGTTGAAAAACATTCAAGGTTACTACTTTCACAGATTTCTAAGATTTTTTTTTTTTTTTTGCTTTAATTTATATGCTGCCCTTCTCCGGAGACTCAGGGTGGCTTACAATGCGTTAAGCAATAGCCTTCATACTTTTGTATATTTATACAAAGTCAGCTTATTGCCCCCACAAACTGGGTCCTCAATTTACCTACCTTTGAAAGGATGGAAGGCTGAGTCAACCTTGAGCCTGGGGAGATTCGAACTTGCAGTAATTGCAAGCAGCAAATGTTAATAACATTCAGCACCATCAGCAATGAAGGTTGACTTAAGAGAATCTTTATCTTTGGTCATCACGGTTATTCTTTACAAATTGAAAAATAGCATGCTGTAAATTGGAAAATTAAATCCAACATTTCCATTTCTCCTTTTATAGGCACACCAGTTGTGGCAAATACTACAATAGCCAGGAGCCTGAGTAGCTTTTTAATCCCTTCATGATCTTGTAATATGGGCTTGTCTGTGAGAATAGGGTTAAAGTAGTAATATGAACATAGCTAGATCTGGCCGATGGCTCCTCAAGGATCATCCTATGTCCTCTTGTGGCCAGTTAGATTTAGGAAGCTCACAAGCACGGATAGCAGGGCAATCATCCTTTTCCAATATGGCTTCCCAGCCACCTTTATTGAAGGCACGATGCCCATTACTTAGTAATACCATGTTTCCCCAAAAATAAGACCCTGTCTTATATTTTTTGGAACCCTGAAATAAGCGCTTGGTCTTATTGCCATGCGCTCAAAAGCCCGATTGGGCTTATTATTAGGGGATGTCTTATTTTTGGGGAAACAGGGTAATAAACCTAGAGATGTAGGGGAGAATACATCATCCATTACTCCTCAATATGCATTAAGACCCAAAGTTGACATTTCCATGACATCATGATCCAAATAACCCGCATTTTGTTATTTGCATCAAGTAAATTCATTTGTCATAATAACATCTGTATATTTAACTTATTTAAGATTAGATTATTTCAGATGTAGGAAACAGTTCTCTTATTTCAGAGGGTTGTCTGGATGGAAATTCTGCCTGTTGTATCCAAAGTTTGCTAAATGGGGATCCTTTAAGTTAGTGTTCTTTAGATTTGACAACTTTTAAGATGTGTGGACTTCGATTCCCAGAATTCTCCAACTAGTATTCTGAGGAATTCTCTGGGAGTCCAAGCCCACATACCTTAAAGTTGCCAGGTTTGAGATACTAATTTAAATCAAGGTTTTACTGGAGGTTGAAGCCAACATCATTGTTTTTCAGTTTGGTCACTGTACAAAAGCCACAAAATTTTACAGCTCCTGTAGATGTCCCAAAGGTGTTTTTTCAGGAGGCAACTGGACTTTCTTGTTTTTTCTTTTGAAGACGTATCGCTTCTCATCCAAGAAGCTTCTTCAGCTCTGACATGATATGGGGAATCGGAGCTGAAGAAGCTGCTTGGATGAGAAGCAGAACGTCTTCAAAGAAAAAACAAGGAAGTCCAGCTGCCTCCTGAAAAAGCACCTTTGGGACAACCATGACCTGGATGAGTGAGAATCTCTACAGACTTTTAGCTCCTGAGATCTTACTACTCACATGGTATGAATGATGTTCTCCTATAATTAACGTACGATGCCATTTACAGATATTTCAGGAACCCAAGAAGGCTAACCAAGTGGAGCAGGTCTTGTCAGAATATGCCAAGTGTATCAAGGTACGAAATAGAAGATTGGAAGATAATAATAATAATAATAATAATAATAATAATAATAATAATAATAATAATAATAATAATAATAATAATTTTATTTCTATACCGCCCTTCTCCTGAAGGACTCAGGGCAGTGTACAGCCTATTAAAACACAAAAATATACGGATATCAATTAAAAAATAATTAAAATTATTAAATAATTTCGGCCTGAATTAAAACTCAAAAATTTAAAACACCCAATTTAAAATCATTTACTGTGATAGCCCGGCCTGGCGGAACAGCAGGGTCTTGAGGGCACAGTGAAATGCACGGAGGTCGGAGATCTTTGAGCTTATTGAGCAGTTGGGAAGAGGTAGTAAGCTGACCGTAGAGGTACTCCAGCTTTTAACCATTGCATTGTGGACTTCCTTTGACACAGCGCTGCAACCTAACAGACGGCCCCATGACAGGAGCACTGCTCTTTTCTGTAGTCGGTGGGAAAATGAGCGAAGGAATCAATTTTTCGGATGACCTGGGAAGGTAAAAATGATAGCTTGTGCTCGGGGTAGTGGTGGTAGAATTGTTCACTGGAATATTTTCTATTTAGAATTCAGAGAGTTATGAAATATTGATGGGGGGAGAGCATCACACTTAGGTTTGAGCTAATACAAACTGAAGTCTTAATTTTGGGAAGGGCCGTTCAAATGCTGATTTCGGGGTTTAGCTTTTAGCGCAGGGTGTTTGATTTTAATGAGACATATTCCCCATTGTGCAACAGACTGAAGGCTAACATAGAAGGTATTAGGATGAGAGAGAGGGAGAGAGAGAGAGAAAAAATTGTATGGCAAGTGGGCAAAGCTGTCACTTCCTTCTTTAAGGCAAATCTGTTGTTTCATAAACGTTCCACTTTCCATTTTTAACGCCAGTGTTATTCCTCCCACCCTGGTCTCTGCACCTGCCTTAGTGGGACAGCTAAGCTTGACATGCAGGATGACAGAAAGCTGTTGCTGCATATTAACTGCCCCCTGTTGTCACAAGCAAGTTGTGAAGGCAATTAGGTGGGAGGGTTTGGTAAATTGCAATGCCTAACCACGCTTTCAGAGACAAAGCCATTTCTCCTTACAAATGAATCCGAAATGAAACAAGCCTCTTCTCGGTCGAGTAAAGCAATAGTTATCCAGAAAGAGGTATGGGCTTTGTAGCATAAACCCTACCTGTAGGAGGCCAATTTGTATGCAGAATATTATTCCCAAATTGCTTCTTTTCCCGCATTTTTACTTAAAACTCCCTCCAATTGCTGTTTAAGATTCCAAGGGTAAAAATATTAGGTTATCTTGAATGCATTTGATATACCGGCGGCCTATCCACTGCAGGCACCTTTGATTGAAATTGTAATCTGTTTTTGAAAAGGCAATTTTACCCACTAATCAAAACTAGTGCAGTGGGTTTCTCCTTGGCATAGGTTTTCACCTTACTTGGCCAAAATAGTGTATTTATTTATTTTTGTTTCTTTTCTTGAGCTTAAAGAAAGCTTTATACACTGGATATTGCTTTGTATGTGACATGCTTGGATTGTAAATTACTCCGATTGTGTTTTTTTGAGTTTCCTTCCTTCCTATTTTTGGTGTTTCTTTTTGTAAAACGTATAATAAAATAAAATAACATGGGAGAAAAAGAACTCTTTTAGATTGAAAGGGTCTATTTGGCATTGCAGGATTATTATGCAAGTTAAAGGGATGATGCTGGGTGATTTATATGTTTCATACTTTTCCTTATTTTCTCTTTACCCAGGTGTGTAATTATGGTGGGCATGCCCTACCCCAACATAAAATCTCCAGAACTTCAGGAGAAAATGGCTTACCTGGATAAAACAATGGTAAAAGTTCCTCTGTTTTCCACTTACAGCAGGGGTGTCAAACTCATGTCGTCATGGCGGCGTCACATGACGTATTGGGACTCCCCCCCCCTTTGCTAAACCGGGTATGGGCCTGGCCAGCGCGTGACTCATCCGTCCCATGGGCTGGGAGTTTGACAACCCTGACCTACGGCAATGCTTCTAAATCTTGGCCATTTTAAGATGAGTGGACTTCAACTTCCAGCATTCCCCAGCCCAACCTGCCCTGGTGAGGGAGGGTAACTTTACTTCCTCTGATCACTGGAGTTTCTGAAGCGCCCCAAGCAATGTTTGTCAACCTTGGCAACTTTTAAGATATGTAGACTTCAACTTCCAGAATTTCCCAGCTCATAGCTGGCTGGGGAATTCTGGGAGTTGAAAGACCACTCATCTTAAAAACATCAAGGCTGAGAAACACTGATCTTTCAGTATTCTTATTTATTTTTTTTTGGTCAAAGTACACAATTTCTACACAGTGGTTCTCTGTGCTTTTTTCTTTCTCTCACAGTTGTCATGCAACTTAGAACGTCTGCATCGTTCTGTTTACAAATGCTTCATTTTCATCAGTGAGAGAAGCCGCAATTAGTTCTCATTCTTAGGCTAACTGAGGTGACATTTAACCACAGGTAGTCCTTGACTTACAACCATTCCTTTAGTGACTGAAGTTAAAATAGCACTGAAAAAGTTGTCTTGAGGACCCGGTTTCCACATTAAACGATCAAAATTTGGGTGCTTGGCAACTGGCATGTAGTTATGACTGTTTCCCTGTCCTGGGGTTGTGCGATCATCATTTCTAACCTTCCCAGCTGGCTTCCGATGAGCAAAAAGTCAACCGGGGAAGCCAGATTTGCTTAGCAACTGCATGATTCACTTAAGTGTAATGATTTGCTTAACAATCATAAGATGGGGCACAACTCATTTAACAACAGTCTTGCTTAGCAGTGGAAATCTTGGACTCAATTGTGGTCGTTAACTCGAGGACTAGCTGTATTGCAAGTCCCAGGAGAGTGAGTCGTAAGAGACGCTTAGTATTGGGCTTTGCGTGTACCTCTTGGGCTTCCCTTGGCTGAAACTGTTGGAGTGGGGACAGCTGTGCACAGCCTTCCTCTCACCTCAATGCCGAGGTGGCTAATTTATCACTGAATGAGGTTAAGAGAGATCCTTCGTTATAGATGGATGAACTTGTCCTTAATGGGAAGGCTGACTCTTCATTTCTTTGGAAAGACTGGCACTCCTTCCCAGTCCTCCAAGGCATTTCTGTTTTGTGGTGGGGGAATCTAAACATGCATCAGATTCTACATTTCCTTTCTTTGGTATTTCCTGTTGCCATAAATTACGCATTGCTTGCAACCAGCAAAGGTAGGGTTGTCCCAAAGATGCTTTTTCAAGAGGCAGCTGGACTTTCTGGTTTTTCTTTGAAGATGTTTCGCTTCTCATCCAAGAAGCTTCTTCAGCTGAAGAAGCCTCTCGGATGAGAAGCGAAACGTCTTCAAAGAAAAACCAGAAAGTCCAGCTGCCTCTTGAAAAAACACCTTTGGGACAACTGTGACGTGGATGACTGAGAATCTCCATAGACCAGGGGTGTCAAAGTCGATCGTGTCACGTGACGTACCGCGACGGTTTTTTTGCCTTTGCAGAGCCGGGGTGGATGCGGCCTACGCGTGATGCATCCACCCCTCGGGCAGCCAGTTTGACACCCCTGCTATAGACAAAGGTAGAGTTCTAGACTGTCATGCCTGGCCATGTAACTGTTGGAGCTGGGAAAGTAACCTGACCAGAAAATTGCACCAGATGATTGTTTCCAACACAGCTACAGATAGTCCTCAACTTACAAAAGTTTGTTTGGTGACCGTTTGAAGTTTCAATGGCACTGAAAAAAGTGACTTAACGGCCATTTTTCATACTTCTGAAAAATTTGCAGCGTCACACTTGCAGCATCCCCATGGTCACATGATCAAAATGCAGATGCTTGACAACTGACCCGTATTTATGACGGTTGCAGGATTCCAGGGACATATGATCAGGTTTTGTGACCTTCTGACAAGTAAAGTCAATGGGGAAGCGAAATTCGCTTAACAACCATGTTAATAACTTCAGTGATTCACGTAACTGTGGCAAGAAAGGTTGTAAAATGGGGCAAAACCTATTAACTGTCTCGCTTAGCAACAGAAATTTGGGGGTCAATTACAGTCGTAAGTCGAGGACTACCTGTACTTCCTTGGGCTAGAAATTACCAAGATTGGGTTTATCTACTCTAAATATGCTGTGTCACACTTATCCTTGAATAGAATTAAGGAAATTCTATGTAACATATGTAGGATTACTTCAATATTTGGATAGAAAGGTAGGGTATAAATCAAATAAATAACATTAGTGGCATCAATTGTAGGGGAAGGCTGGATTGTTGGGTGACTTGAGATGAGTATTCTTGAGAGTCAGTTTGCTCTACTGCTTAAGGCATCAGGTTAGAAAGTAGGAGACTGAGTTCAATTCCTGCCTAAGCCAACTGGGTGACTTTGGGCCAGTCTCTCTCTCACCCAACCCAGTTTAGAAGGTTATTGTTATGGGGAAAATAGGAAGAAGACATGTTGGATATGTTTTACTGCCTTGAGTTATTTGTAAAAATAACAAAGACAGATTATAAATAAATAAAATAAAAAAAATATTAGCTTCTAACCCCATTGATGTATCCCACCTGTCTTGGTTTTCTCTAGCCAAAGTGTGCAGGCCAATCTCCAGGAAACTTGCTCATTGAAAATCTATGCATGAAAGCAGTCAACCAGTCAATAGGTAAAGTATGCCATTGGTTCTAAAATACAGAGTTCTCGCAATCGGCGTTTTATGGATGGTCAGATGGAACCTGGTTACCTTATTGTCAGTTTTAAACATGGGAACACTCCCAAGTAACCAATCAGGGAAGTTTGGATAAGATGGCAGAGAAATTAGGAATAGGTGATCTTTTCTTTTACACGTTTATCATGCAGTAGTACTGTATGTACATTTTTCATACGAGTTTCTGTGCAAAGTTGGCTCACCGCCATCAAAGTAATGAAGCATAAGAGGCAAGTGATCGTTTAGATCAGAGGTTGTACATAAGAGGATCCTGGATTCATTTCTATGCAATGCTTGAGTAACATGAGCGCAGAAAAACCTCTGCTTCCAATTATGGACAACTGCTGTGGGCAAGATGGATCTTCTGATTGAACATGAAAGTGTCCTATGGAATTGGGCTGTAAGGAGGCACTATTTTGTGTGCAACCAACCTGCTAAAAATGCTAGAGAAATTTGGGAGAAAACAGCAGGAAGAATCTCTGCCACTTTCTCCCATCTCGTTTCATACGTTCATAATGTAGGTTCCTGTCTTGCTAAGTTTGGGCACGGAAATATCAGTAGGTTTATCAGCATAAAATATTCTTCGAGCAAAATTTGTTTTATTGGTCACTCACAGCAGTTTCAACGTGACAGCCTTCTGCAACCTGAGTGCCTTCCAGATATGTAAATTTCAACTTCCAGAATTCTCAGCAGTGGAAATTTCTGAGAGCTGAAGTTCACAGGTCTGAAAGGTTGTATCTGACGTTCTTTGCCCTAGTCATCTCGAGGGAGGAAATATTTGTATGTCAATCTCGTGCTGGCTGGGGAATTCTGAGAGCTGAAATTCATGCATCTTCAAGTTGGCATGGTTGAGAAACACCGCTTTAAACAGTTTGCCCAGTGGCTTCTCACTTTGAATTGAATTTAATCCTGTTGGCCATTCATGTGACAAGAACAAGTTGGGGGAGGGAGGCATATAAATGGATTAAATAAATAAGATGGTTTGCTTTTTTACAGGAAGGGCAATTCGGCATCAACAGGACTTTGCCAGTATTGTGCTTTTAGATCACAGATACACACGTCCAGCTGTTCTCAACAAACTTCCTCGATGGATTAAAAGCAGAACTCAAATCAAGGATAGGTTTGGACCGGCTTTTGCAGCACTAAGAAAAGTAAGTCCCAAATCACACTCCATTTGCAAATTCCTATGAAATGCTATCATCCTAGAGCAGTGACGGGTAACCTTTTTGGTGCCGAGTGCCCAAAGCGCAAGTGCGTGCGAATGCATGTGCATGAACCCCCAAAATACAATGTGAGCGGCCCCCAGCACATGCATCATTTTGGCTTCCAGGTTGGTGCAGGCGACTTTCCAGGCCCAAAATGGGGTGCGGGGAGGCCTTGTGTGGTGTCCCCATGCCGTTTTGGCTTCCAGGTTGGTGGAGGCTTTCCAGGCCCAAAATGGGGTGCAGGGGGGTGCGTGCGCGCAAACCCCCAAAATGCAATACGAGCACCCTGTGCATGTGCCCCACCACCACGCATACACCCTGTCCCCTGCATGTGCGAGCATGTTCCCTGCCCCCCGCACATGTGCAGCAGAGACCCAAAGACTAGCTGGCTGGCAGGAGGCACTGGTGCATGCATGGTAGAGCTGGGCTGAGGCAACGGCTGGCATGCCATAGGTTCGCCATCACACTCCTAGAGAATCCAAGCATCAATTAATCAAAGCTAGACTCTTTAAGATTTATTTTCCTGCTGGTGAAATGTGCACATTATTATCTCTATTGACTTTCGTCACTACGTGCCTCATGTAATTCCTAATTTCTGTCTTGCAGTTCCATTGGGAAAAGAAATCCAATTCCAAGTCTGTCTCTTTGTGAGGAATAAGCCATCTACTCAAAATTGCTACCTCCGCCTGTGCAAAATGTCTCCTGTGTATTTAAATGCATTAAACTTGTATTGTGTGATCTTAATTTTGAATTGTGTATTTTTTTTCTTCCAGTCACTCAAATAGTTTTCTGAACTCACCATGCTAAACTAAATTAAGGTTGGAAAACCTTAATTTCTTCTGTTTATGGTGGAAATTTGAATCCTCTGTTGAAAAGATTTGGACAAAAACATTGTTTTCCCTCTATTTCATTTTGCATACCACAGTGCCTCTTGGACATTATTTTGAGGTTATAATATATGCTATTCAAAGTTCAAGGCAGGTGGTTAATAAGGGTGTGCAAACATTTTGACATTGAACCGAACTCGAAGTGGTTATTTCAAGCTTAAATTAGCTTGTTCCAACCATTCTGAATGCATTTCACACTCAGAAACAGCTATTTCAATTTCAAAATGTTTTCTATGCCACCAGCAGTCATTGTTGCTAAAATCTGTGTGTGGGATATAATCGGTTATAGACTCCAAGTTCTCATTTCCCCTGAACTGTGAGACATTCCAGTTTTCTCTCTCTGCCAGCATCAAAACAGGGCTCACTACAAAGTTAAAAGGAACACACATGCTATGGCCGTGTTTCTCAATCTTTGGCCATTGTAAGATGCATGGACTTCAAATCCCAGAATTCCCTCGCCAGCAAGGCTGCTGGCTGGAGAATTCTGTGAGTTGAAGTCCATGCATTTTACAATGGCCAAAGTTGAAAACACTGCTATGTGGTGCATTAGGCAAGAAGGCTAGAGGTGCAGGGATCACTTTTGAAGCACTACGCTTTCCTTAATCCCTTCAGCCAAGGAATTCTTGGCTTCAGTTTGCTATCCACCCTTAAGCAAAAGCTTTTTACATAGGTTTACTGCTATTGGTCAAAGTTAGCTTTGGGAGGGTTGATGGAAAAGAGCTGCTAAAAAGCACTTTTTAAAATGCGCTGTGTAGGCAAATGCTGATTAAAAAAAAAACATCTAAAAGGGCTGGCAAAAGGGGATTGAAAAACTAGGGTAGATGCACGTCTACAACACTTTAAAGCAGTGTTTCTCATTTCCCAATAAGTTTTAAGATGTGTGGAGTAGGGAATTCTGTGAGCTGAACTTCCTGAGGTTGAAAAACACTGCTTTAAACCAAAGGCAGCTTGCCTGGTTTTAGGAAAAACCTCCAGGCAGGTGCCGCAGGAGAGCTTCAAAGTGTCTTTTTTTTTTAACCCTAGGGAGGGTTTAACTCCCTTGGGAGTTGGGCGGCATAGAAATGCGACAAAATAAATAAATAAATAAATAACCTTTGAATTGCTGCACAGCTACATTATCCAGTCCTTTCCTTTTTTAAGTACTGTATTTTTCAGAGCATAAGACGCACCTTAGTTTTTGGGGAAGAAAATAAGAAAAAAGCTGATTGGTGGGTGGATCGGCCTCCCGGAATACCCCCGATCGGCTGTTCCCCAGAGGTGAATTTTAGCAACAGGTTCCTTAGTTGTGAGCTCTGTGCCTTGCTTTTTTTTCAACTTCTGAAACTCTTTCAGAAAAATGTTTTTTTCTGCCTCTGAAATATCTTCAGGAAAAAAAAAGGCTTTTTTTCTGAAGTTTCTTTCAGAGGCTTTTATTCTGAAGGACTATCTGTACTCAGTTCAATCTCCTTTCTTTGGTATTGGTATATAGATTAAACTCTTCCGATCTGTCGGTTATTGTATCATTCTCCAGATTTGTTAGCATAGTTTGGTTAGAACCTTGACCGATTCTTCTTTTGTTGCTTGCCATATTATTTTAGATAAAAGCCTTTCAGAGGCTTTTTTTCTGAAACTCTGTTTAGAGGCTTTTTTTCTGAAGCTTTTTTCAGCCTCTGAAATCTCCGTTTGCGAGGCTTGGCAGGGCTACATTTGGAGTATAAGACACACCCAGATTTCCACTCTCTTTTTTTGGGGGAAAAGGTGCGTCTTATACACCGAAAAATACGGTACTTGCTTTTCTATCATTTTTTTTTTTTTAGTTTACTTGCCTGAGATAGAAGGGACACACAGCAGCATTTGCAAACTAGAGAGGTTTATATAACATGGTTCAGTGAGGATGGCCCAGAAGACTCACTTAGGTGGATATCTTGAGAATCATTTCCGCCGACGTGCAAAGATACCCAGAACAATTGAACTACTTAGTCCAGGTAGTCCTCGGCTTACAACAGTTCATTTAGTGACCGTTCACTGAAAAAAGTGACTTAGGACTGCTTTTCACACTTTCACACCGTTGCATCCCCAAGATCACATGATCAAAATTCATACACTTGGCAACTGACTCCTATTTACGACGGTTGCAGTGTTCAGTGGGTCACGTGATCCCCTTTTGCGACCTTCGGACAAGCAAAGTCAATCGGGAAACCAGATTCACTTTACAACCGTGTTACCAACTTAACAATTGCAGGGATTCATATAACAACTGTGGCAAGGTCACTTGTAAAATGGAGCAAAATCCACTTAACAGATGTTTCACTTAGCAATATCGATTTTTGGGCTCAATTGTGGTTGCTTAAGACGAGGACTGCTTGTATGGTCTTCGCACGTTGAGTTTCCATCCTGATGCTGCAAACAAATACTACCTTCCACAACAAGAAATTGAAAGGAAGAAGACAGGAAAAGGAAGGGAAAGCAAAGTGTGCCTTTTTTTTTGAAAGGTTAATACATTTTCCAATATGCAAGCTAATAATGTACCTCCCTCAATTCCAGTTTTGTCCCCTGAAATGGGTTCTTATTGCACACAGATGCGAAAACAGATTTCTTTCAGATTTTCATTTAGGGCATTCAAAGTAAGTAGAGTAAAATGCTTATTTATATATAATAATTGCTCTGAACAGGCAAATGCCCTTCTTTACAGAGCTGAAAAGGATATGAGTGTTGAAAGAAAACTGAAGCTGTTCTCAGCAGTAGCTGGGTACCCTCTGAAACCTCCCAGTTCCCAGCAAGCCGAGTCTTGACACAGATGGCCAAACATGCCATGTTTGATCATGGAGGCTTTTTTCTAAGATGGAAACTAGCTCTCGTCCTTGAAGACAAATTGCACGGTGGCAGATTCTTCTTTGTGCGTAATTATATTCATGTTGCTATTCTGGATTGGATGGCAAGATGGCAATATCCACTGTCGTGAGTATTCTAAAAAAAGATGGACATGTCAAACAACAAGATGCGCCTCATATGTTCTTCTAGGAAGCCCAGTCATCTTCGTCCTCTTCCCCAGCTGGCTGTTGTGGGGGTGGCAGGGGCGGAATGGTGTCTGAGATGCGGCCAAAGGCACCAGCTGGCACATTGGGCGCATTGCTGTCTCCACCAGCTGCTGGTCCTTTGCCCGAGATGCCTGCGGGAGAGAAGACAAAATGGAAAAGTGGCACCAGGAGATCGACACTTCCTCAAAAGTGCAGGCCTGACATCTAAATGACAAAGATGGGGAAGTGTTGGCCCAGCAAGGAGAACAGAGATACATTTCTTAATTTACTCAGAATTTTGCACCCAGAGAGACAAATTGTAAAGAAAGCTGAAAGATGTAAAAGCTACTAAGGAGGAGACTCCTACTTAGAACACATCTGGAAGCTTAAGTGCAGTGCTTTGAATCCAAAACGCAAAAAGTCGTCCAGAGTTAGTCTGAGTACACATACCACATTTATCAATGCTCCTTTAAAGAAGCTGCATTCCCCCCCCCCCCCGATTACTATGATAGGTATATGGAAAATTGGTTGGAATTTTAAAAAGTGCCAACAATGTACCCCACCCACTACAAATTACCCTTTGTAGTTTGTCACTGCCTGCTTAACAAATGTCTATTTTCCTGTGATTATGGGGCAAAGGAAGGAAGGCATTAGCAGATGCAGGCCTGTTGTCTATTTTGAAATACCTTTCTGGCTTTGGATTCAAAGTGGTGGACGTGCCTATAAAAACCACAATCCTGTTGCAAATCCTGTGAAATACATTTCACCAGATCTGGATAGCCACAGGTTCTCTCCATTAGATGTTTCATATTCTCAAGGTAAAGAATATGTGCTAGTCGTTCCTGAATCTAGGGGGCGGTGCTCATCTCCGTCTCAAAGCCGAAGAGCCAGCACTGTCTGAAGACATCTCCGTGGTCATGTGGCCGGCATGACTCAACGCCAAAGGTGCACGGAACGCTGTTACCTTCCCATCAAAGGTGGTCTCTATTTTTCTACTTGCATTTTTTATGTGCTTTCGAACTGCTAGGTTGGCAGAAGCTGGGACAAGTAACGGGAGCTCACCCCGTTACGCGGCACTAGGGATTCGAACCGCTGAACTGCCAACCTTTCGATCAACAAGCTCAGCGTCTTAGCCACTGAGCCACCATGTCCCTCTTCATATTCTTCATATTCTTACTTGGACTAAAACCTGGAGATGATTTATTTTGCATGATGGCTTGATCTTAGTAAAAATGAAGGCCTGATGCTCTATGCCAGGGGTGTCAAACTGGCGGCCGTGGGCTGGATGTGTCACATAGAGGCCACGCAACACCCCAGCTCCGTGAATGGGAAAAACATTGTGAAATGTCACGTGATGGCAATGTGACGTGGCGAGTTTGACACCCGTGCTCTATGCAAATCAAACCTTTTGGTTTTCCCTGTGTAGAATTTATCTTTCTTCTTGAAAGCATTGTTCCCATAACCAGGAGAACCAGATCAGGTAAATAACTTTTTTAATGTTAGCCTTTGGTTTGTGTTTGGTTATATATGTCAAACAGTATGTTAATTCAGCCACCTTATTTAATTAATGGCTTAAATGGCAGACCCAGAAAATGGGTTGATTCGGTAAGAAGTTAAATATGTTGCCTGAATGGGATTTACTAATCTTTTTTCTGAGTGGAGTTCAGAATGGTTTTGGTTGTTCTATCTTGATCCTGTTCTTGCCTCTCTGTCTCAAAGACTGATGGTTTTTAATCTTAGAAGCAACCATAAGAAATTCATAACTTAGCTTTTAATCCTAGTTACAGTGAAAAAAAAAACGTTGTTTTCTACTAATAGGAAACCTTAAGCTTTGTTCGCTGCATCACTGGGGAGAAACCACAACAAGCTTCCTCACCTTTGCGCCGGAGGACCAGTTTGTTAAAAAGATCTGACATCAGATCTCCGCCTTGCCCAGTAGCTCCCACTGGAGGAAACACAAAAAGAGAAATCAAACACTTGAAGACAGCAAATGGGAGAAAATCATGAATCTGCCGGTAAATCTGGCATTGTTTTGGATGAAGTCTTCACATAGGATTGTTATCCTAATCTATTCAGGCACGGGAGAAAATATCATAGGCATTCTTATAAAATAGTTTCCTGGTGGATGTTCCCCACCATCTCTTCTAGACCAAGGATCATTATATTCAATTTAATCACCTTACCCAAGGTTACAAAAACAAACTGCAAAAGAGAATGTATGTGTTGGGCTGGATGTGGTGCTTATGCTATTGGTTTCATCATAACGTCTGAGTTTTAAAAAGCTTAATATATATAAAAGCCAAATACCACTCACTCATCACGAAATCTCAGAACGATAAAGCCTACAAAGGCCTGAAATTTGGCATGTATGTTCCTCTTGGCTTCTAGGTGCTCGTTAAGAAAGGATTTTTCGAAATGACTATCAGATCATTAGTATTTCATATACAGTATTATATTCACATGCTCTGATGCTAAGGAGTTAGACGTTCTACTCCCCCTCCCCACCTGAAAGGAACTCTGTCCCAACTGCCAGTTGCCTTATATTCACACCCTCTGATGCTAAGGAGCTAGACATTCTACTCTCCCTCCCCACCTGAAAAGAAGTCTGTTCCAACTGCCAGTTGTCTTATATTAACACACTCTGATGCTACCCCTTCGCTAAACTGGGGGTGGGCGTGGCCAGCGCACGACTTATCTGGCCTGCGGGCTGGGACATTCTACTCCCTCTTCCTCTCTGTTCCAACTGCCAGTTGCCTTATATTAACACGCTCGGATGCTACGGAGTTACACATTCTACATTAAGTCAATTTATCACACACAATCACATAGTTTTGTAGTGAAGCACAGGCGTCCAGCTAGTACGCAATATGACAGCCATCATTACACTCATGCTGTGATATTATTCTCTTAATGGTTTGGTAGAACGTGCAGAGAAAACTGGAGACTACCATACAGAAGGATTATCAGACTGGATGATCTATGAAACCAGAGAAGGCATCCTACATCTTTTCAGTTGATGCAGGGAACCTAGCTGCAAATAGTGTAACAGTGATGTGCTAACTATCACAATAGAGACCCAGGGTATAAAAGATACCAACTGGGATTAAATTTCACAATTTGTACTAACTAGACTTAAACCTTTGGCATAGTAGTTTCTACCTGTCTGATTTGGTCTGTCAGGATGAGCATGCCAGAGTCCTGTTGGCTAATTCTAACCTGCCTTTTCTGCCATAGTGCCTGCCTTAGGGGCCATCCTATTGGAGAGTAGGATGGCCCCGATCCTGCTGACTTTTTAGTAAGGCCCTAAAAACCTGAGCCTAAGGTCCGGAGTATGTGAAGGGACCAATCTTCTGCCTCAGTTTGTTGGTTGTGTTATTTCCTATGCATTTTAATTAGGCATTTATGATTGTAATTGTTTTTACTTTTATTGAGAATGTTTGTTACCCAGAATCATTTGCCACTTACTGCAATGGGTGGCTATACAAATTTGTTAAAACATTTTATGAAATAAATAAAATGGATTAAGTGGATAAAAATAAACAGATGTTCAGGTTGAGCCAAGGGAATCGACAAAACTATGCTATAAAAAAAGCCAACTTGCATTTTTAAGAAGCAGCTCTTTTCATGCAGCTTTCGGGCTTCTCAATGTTACCACATTTGCTAAACTTATTTTTCCTAAGTAAAGTGAGTTTGGGACAGAAACTAATAATTATCACTATTTAGATGGGATTGTCTTATGCAAATAAATAACTAAAACCCCCTTGAACTTGGCATTTGGACATCCATCTTTATATTACATTAGTTTGGTCTAGACCAGGGGTGTCAAACTCGCAGCCTGTGGGCCGGATGCATCATGTGCTGGCCCCGCCCCTGCCCAGTTTAGCGAAGGGGGAAAAAAGTCCCAATACGTCACGTGATGATGCCGTGACATTGCAAGTTTGACACCACTGGTCTAGACTGACCGAAAATATTTGTTGTTGTCTCTCAGAATAAACCATGTTTGTGGTATAGTGATCAGGGGGGGTGGAACCACAACCCTCAAGGTCTTGTCCACACTCTGGCATCCATCATCTCTGATTGAGAAAAGAACTGAAGGGAATTAGGGTCCAACAACGCCTTGAAGGCCACAAATTACTCTGCCATACAGTAATGTATTCTAACAGTGAAAAATACATGATGTAATGCATAATATTAACTAGCACTTAGATGTCTGATAGATATTGATATAGATATTCAATGTTTGATTCACCCTGAGGCCGTAAAGCATGCAGTCAGATCTAAGTACAGGAAGTGGCCTAGGGTGGAAGGATAGAGGTACCTTGCTCCTTCTCCTTCTGCTTTTTCTTTTCTAGTTTCCTCTCTTTGACACTACGGAGATTGGCTTTCCCAATGCCACCAGCTTGGCGGATGGATTCCAGAAGAGTGGCCCGGCCATTTGATGGGTTCACAACTTCCTTTGGTGCTCCTTGAACAGCAGCTGTAGAAAAGTAAATTCATTGCAATGCCCTTAGGTGCTGATGGCTACAGACAGAAAATCTCTTTCCTCCACCCACACCCCCACAAAAAAGATCTGTTGTTTTGTATTAAGAGCTTTATAGTTTGATTCTGTGAGACTCATCTTTTTATCAAGCCGTTGTCTATTTTCTCAAGATTTTTTGTTGTTGAGTATTTTAGTTGGTTTCTAATGCATGCTTTGGAAAAATGGGATTTTCCACACAAAATATAAAGTTCACTAATACTAATGTTCCTATGTCGGAAGCACCAAAGTGCTTCCATGGTGAAAGGATTTGCTGGTGACATCACCGTTGCCCAGGGGACACCTGGTTGGGGGCTCCTGTCATGTCCACATGAGGTTGCCCACTGAAGTGGTACCCATTTATCTACTTGCGTCATCCACTTTCAATCTGCTGGTTTGGCAGGAGCTGGAACATGTGACGGGAGCTCACCCTGTCCTGCAGCAGCAACAGGTCTTGAACGCAAGCTTGCTGATTGCCAGCCCAGCTGACAATCTAACTTCTGAACCATCCCACCCCACCATAATGTTCACTACTGAGACAGGATAATTCTCTTAATGCTATGTTCTCCATGTTAGTGTCCTCTTTGGGACCTTCAGCTTTTCATAATTAATAGCCAACATAATTATTAGCAATTGTTCCTGGGGATGTAGGATCTTATAAACAACATTTGGAAGTCGTATAAGTTTTGGGAAGGTTAAACTAATGCTTATTAGCTCTGATAGCAGAATGGAACTTGCATATATATATATTTTATTGAAATTTATTATAGTACAATACAATACAATACAGTCAGACAGTGTTATTTTTCTACACAGGTTAGATTGATTCTTCCTTTATGTTTCATAGTTCCAAATTCCTATATATATATTAAGATTTGTATTAACTTTCATCTATTCTTTGGTTATCAATCCACCTGTACCAATCATCCCACACTGTATAATATTCTGAATCCTCTTTTTCGTTTAGTTCTAACGTTAATTTGTTCATGTCATGCATATTCTTATGCCTTAGGTGTCTCCAGCCTATCAAGTATCAGATGGAAACACAAAGAGACACTTATATACCTTGTGGGTTTTTTTTTAGCTAGCCTCAGCTGGCTATTCAGAAAGAGAAGCTACTTTAGAGGGAATCTGATCTGTTGCAGAAATTTCTACCTTTTTAGTGCTGTTTCCAGGAAAGTGATGCTACCTGACTTTCACTTCCACTAACAAAATCTGATATAATGTGCTGGCTAATTAGGGGTTAGCCAGGAATCAAAAAGCTACTGGTTTGAATCTCAGTCTTTCACACATCTCCACTTTTTTTCCATTCACAATATAATAGGAAAGGAGTATCAGTGATTTCTCTTATAGAATGATTGTAAATATAGTCAACTAGATCTATCATGTATCTGCAGCATTTTGAACATTTGGAATGTAGTAACTGTGTTCCAGTTACCGATAATCCCTTCAAAGCTAATGAACAAAATCACACAGCCAGTTCTTCTATTTTCCAGGGCGTGTTGTCTTCACCGGGATAAATATATTGCATATGATAGCTGGCTGCTATCTGAATAGTAACATTAAGTGAGTGGTTTCCCAGATTTAATCCTCCAGTCTTACCAGATGGCATGGCATTGTTTCTGTCTTCTCTCATTTGAGATTCAGAAGGGGGTGGTGCTTGTGGAAGAGGAGGGGGAGGTGGGATATGAACAGGAATTTCAGAGGGAGGGGGAGGAGGAGGAGGAGGGGGAGGAGGGGGAGGTCCCCCCTCTTGAAGATCTAAAACAATAGAGAAGGGACATAAATTAGTATTCACAAATACTGTGGAAATGCTTTGTTGATCTCTAGCTATCTGCTCGACCGGTTTTAAAAGTTTCCGTTTCTCGAGTTTCAAAACTGCATTATTTCAGATTTGTACCTTCATGCTTTTGGAGGAGATGTACCCTTTTGCGCATCAAACAATGAAGAGAGTAGCACTGGGTGGTTAATCACCACGGGGCTTATTGGCCCTTTCCTGAAGAAGTTTATACATTGTGCCAAACTACCACGAGTTTGATTTGCCTTAATGTGAAGCGCAACTCTAGGCAGCCTGGACTGTAAATCAGTTTATTGCCTAAGTGAATTTATAGGCCAGAAATGCTGCAAAAACACCAACATCCTTGAAAGAGCAGAAAATCAACTAACTAAGAAGCGACACAACACAGCCCGGGGGCCCTTTGAGGCTGTTGAGTTCAATCCCATGCTCGGTACAGAAATCCAGATTAAAGCATTTGTACTAGATGGCTGACCAGCTTCTGCTTCAACACGTTCAGTTAACCGTCTCCCTCAATAACTGGTTCCGCTGTCAGACTTACTTCTTATGATTAGGTAGCTTTTTCCAAGCATTCAGCTAAAACTGCCTTCCTGTCATTTTAAGATTATTATTTTCTGTCTTGTAGGATGATAGATAGTGACTATTTTTTCTCTGCAACACCCCCTTCAGATACTCAAGTTGTCTCTATTTGGAGCTAAACAATCCATCTCAATCTTTTGGGGAGGCTTGGTTTTCAGAGTTAAAACCTGTTGCTTTATCAGTTTGGGGAAAAGTTTGAATCCTGAAAGACTGGAGCTCTGAACTCGAGGTAGCATTCAAAGTGCCAGATGACCAAAGCATACTGGAGTAGAACTATTACTTTCTTTGATTTGGAGAGTGAACTACTATTATTACAACCAATAACTATGTTTTCTTTTCTTTCTTTCTTTTTTTTGGCAGCAACATCAAACTACAGACACACTGATTCAAATCAAGGAAATGACTTGGCTCTTCCATAAGCAAATAGTTTTATTGGAGGTTTATTGTCTGTCAGCTGGATGAATCTCACTGCTTTCTAAACTTCAATAATTACTGTCATCTCCATACTACTATTTGCTGATGTTCACAAGGAGCATAAAAGAAGGCGAGAGATACCTAGGGTCTTATTCTCTAAGCTAGCGTCAAGAAAGCCATGAAACATAGACTTAAAACAGATTAATAGTTTTCCAATATCCTAGATCAGGGATGGGGAACTATGGCCACCTTATGACTTGTGGACCTCAACTCCCAGAATTCCTGAGCCAGCTAGCAGTTGGAACAGTGGTGGGATGCCGCTGGTTTAACAACTGGTTTGGTGATTGCGCGCGTGTGCAGTTTTACAAATACTAACCTTCTGGGTTACCACTTGGGAGTAACACCGCTGAGGTGCAGCAATCCACTTTGCCGCGCCAATCAACTGAGAAGATAAAGGTAAGCAAAGCGCAGGGGCGGGGGGCGGGTTGACCTGATCGTCGGAGTGAACCGGTTTGCTCTCAGCTGATCCTCAGAGCTACCGGTACGCCTGAACCGGTTCGAACCGGTAGAATCCCACCCCTGGAGTTGAAGTCCACAAGTAATAAAAGTGCAGAAATGGGCAGATTAACGCTTATCGTTAAGGACAGAGAAGATACTGAATATTTTCTGACGTGGAGCGAAAACAGCCTTTCCCACTCCCTCGGAGGCCCTCAGGAGGCCTGAAAGGGCCCATTTCCCAACTCCCGGTGGGACAGGAAGTGACATTTTTTGCTGCCCTCAGCCTCCAGAGCCTCTCTAGGAGTCTCTAGGAGCCTCTCTAGGAGTCCCTAGGAGCCTCTCTAGGAGTCTCTAGGAGCCTCTCTAGGAGTCTCTGGAGGCTGGGGACAGCAAAAAATGTCACTTCCTGTCCCACCGGGAGTTGGGAAATGGGCCCTTTGAGGCCTCTGGAGGGCCTCTGAGGGAGTGGGAAAGGCTGTTTTCGCTCTCCGCAGATGCATAGAGAGGATCTGGAGCCAGGTAAGAAAGAAAAACGGGCTCCCCCTCCCAGGCCTTCTGGAGGCAGGAAACAGCCTGTTTCCCTACTTCTGGTGGGTCCAGAAGGCCCGAAAATCAGCTGGCCAGCATGCGCATGGGCACCAGTGGGCTGGAGTGCCCACTGATATGGCTACGCGTGCCACCTGTGGCACACGTGTCATAGGTTTGCCATCACGGCTCTAAGATCATCCTAAGCCAAGCCACTAGAATATAAACTGAGAGCAAATCTCACTCTTTATTAGCACTGATGATGTTACCTAGTTTGGGTAATGAAACGTCTGCAAGAAAACAACCAAACTCAAAGAGCCCCAAGGATCTCTTGATTCTTATATGAAGGTTGTTTTTAGGTGCAAATGGACGTAACAAGTGCTTGTTTCCTGGAGACTTACTGAGCCTCCTTGAGTAGAGCATTCAGATGGGATGAAGGCAAAGAGTCAGGGCAAGTGAGACGTCTGCGGAACTTGGCAGAACTGCCTCATGTGTCCATTTGCTCCCACCCAGCTCTGCTTATTTTCTAGTGTGCCCTTTTAGGAGGACTTAGTACCTTGTCGGTAGACCTCTGCGGGTTCTGTGCTGAAGGTGGGCAGCTCAGGTAGAGCAACCCCAGGAGCAGATGGTGCGATGCCAGGGCCAAGGTCAGCACTGTACATGAGGTCTGCGGCAATGCCAGGCAAGTCAGGCAGATAGGATGGCACATCTATCTCGGGTACCTGCCCTAGGTCTGGCACATAGAAGTAATTTTCAGCCACCTGAAAAATAGGCACAAAATTAGAAACACCCAGAAAACACTTTCTGAACTCTTCTGCTTCCACAATTAGGGTTTTCTTGGGGAAAAAAACCCAGTATGACAAAACTTTGTAAAAGTTTTAAATGTGTATGCTAGCTAGAACTCTTATTGTTTTAAGAGCCTGGTGGCGCAGTGGACTAAGTGCTGTTAAAGTAGCACTTAGTTGCCAGCTGCCTGCAATTACTGCAAGTTCAAATCTCACCAGGCTCAAGGTTGACTCAGCCTTCCATCCTTTCGAGGTAGGTAAAATGAGGACCTGGATTGTGGGGGCAATAAGCTGACTTTGTATATATATATAAAAAAAAGAACACCGCTTGGGAGGCCCGAAAGCCCTACTAAGCAGGTATATACAAAAGTATGAAGGCTATTGCTTAACGCATTGTAAGCCGCCCTGAGTCTCCGGAGAAGGGTGGCATATAAATCGAACTAATAAATAAATAAAATAAATAAATATTGTACAGGTAGTCCTCAAGTTACCACTATTCAAAACTATAACGGCATGGAAAAAAGTGACTTACAGCCAACCCTTGCACTTATGACTATTGCAGCATCCCCATGGTCAGGGGATTAAAATTTGGGAGCTTGGTAACCAGCATGTATTTACGATGATTGCAGCATTCTGGGCTCATGGGATCATCATTTGCGACCTTCCTAACTAGCTTCTGACGAGCAAGGTCAAGGGGGGGGGAGCCAAATCCGTTTAATTTCCATGTGGTTCACTTAACAACTGCAACGATTCACTTAACAACCATAGCAAAAAGGTTGTAAAATCAGGCACGACTCACTGAAGAACCATCTTGCTTAGCAATGGAAATTTTGGTCCCAATTGTGCTAGTAGGTTGAAGACTACCATACCTATACATTTGTACCTCAGGATTGGAATGAGGGGCCCTCGGTGCCCTCTGAGTTTGGTTGTTTTCTTGAAGATATTTCCCTACCCTCAGCACTGATGATGTTACCTAGTTTGGCAAGAAAACAACCAAGCTCTTAGAGCACCGAGGACTCCTCACTACTGTACCTGTAATCCCAGTATGCTCAGAGGATACTCCTACTCTGAAATCAAAAGTAGGCTTATTGCAAATCATATGGGCTATTGGGAAAAAAAAAAGTGAGTGTTTTGCCAAGATAAGTTCACCATCAATTCCTGGGGATTTAGCAAGAGAGAAGCACGGGAATTTTTCTTCTCCTCCCATCCTGCTTAAGTAGCTCACCAGCTGATCAATTTGCCCCCTCTTGGTGATAGAGAGGGGGGCATCAAAAAGCTTTTCTTCTCTCTCTGTCTCCAGAGCCACATGGGTTTTGGTTACTGCGCCAGCCAAAGGATCGAGAAAGACGTATTTCTTATACCTGGGGAAGAACAAAAGAAGGAAAAGACAATTTCATTTATTTACTGCAAAGAGAACAAAGCAAAGACGCTTAGGCAGCGAGAATGTATTTTCCTCCATTATCAGGGTTTACCATCCTTTTTAGCCTACTAAAAAGCAGAGACATCATCCTGCCAACAAAAGTGCGTATAGTCAAGGCTATGGTTTTCCCAGTTGCAATGTATGGCTGTGAAAATTGGACCATAAGAAAAACTGAGCGCTAAAGAATTGAGGCTTTTGAACTCTGGTGTTGGAGAAGACTCCTGCGAGTCCCTTGGACTGCAAGGCCATCAAACCGGTCAGTCCTGGAGGAGATCAACCCTGACTGCACTTTAGAAGGCCAGATCCTGAAGATGAAACTCAAATACTTTGGCCACCTAATGAGAAGGAAGGACTCACTGGAGAAGAGCCTCTGGAAAAGATTGAGGGCAAAAGAAGAATGGAACAACAGAGAACGAGGTGGCTGGGTGGAGTCACCGAAGCAGTCGGTGTGAGCTTAAATGGATGGGGGATGGTAGAGGACAGGAAGGCCTGGAGGAACGTTGTCCATGGGGTCACGATGGGTCGGACACGACTTAGCAACTAACAACAACAACCATCCTTTTTACAGGCATACCAGTGAAATACAATGCTGGAATAACTTTCTGCCCACTGAGATTTCCATGCACCAAACAGAGACCGTCTCAACCCAAGTCTGCCTCCCACCACAATTGATCATGGGGGCTCTTTTAACCATAAAAACATGGGAGGAATCCAAAGAATTAAAAAAAAAACCTGCAAAGGCAGACTTCTCAATGCTTGTTCTATGAGGGTTTTGGGGTTTTTTTTTTTACACTTACTTTGCTCGCGTGTTTTGAGACTGTCATACGCACTTTAATAAAGAAAAACTGAAGTTGACAGTTTATCCAAGGGACCAAGGCAGAGGCACAAGCCTAAAATCGAGTTCACATTTAATTAGTTATATCACCGGGGTTCGTAGAGAAGGGGGCAAAAGCAATATTTTGAGAACGCTACAAAATTAAAGAGGGATTTGCAAGAGAGGGAATAAACTTATCAACCTGTCAGTTTCCCTCCACTTAATGTAATCAGTCCTGCATCAGCTCTGACTTGTCTCCTTTTCTGCAACCTAAGATTGTATCACTTCCTCCTGTGCATCTATTATTTTATAAAGATGACTTTGTTTAATAATAACTAAAATAGTCACAGGAAAGTGCAATAAAAAGAAGGAATGGAGCGGGAGAAAAAGATGGACAAAGCCGAGAAGCATCAACAGGATTTAAGGCTTACGCTGAGAAGTAGGGATGAGGACTGGAAACTTGGCTTCAAAATGGTAGAGTTAAAGCAGAGAAAGACTGGCAGATGCTTTAAAACACAGGTGTCAAACTCACGTTGTCACAGCATCATGTGACGTATCAGGACTTTTTCACCCTTTGCTAAACCGGATATGGGTGTGGCCAGCATGTGACGCATCCGGCCCACGGGCTGGGAGTTTGACACCCCTGCTTTAAGACAATACCACCACACCTATTTGGTCACTCAAGGCTATAATTAAAAACAAGCAGCAGCATCAAAAATGGGCTCAGGACCACATTCCTAGGACAGTCTTACCCTTTTATCAGTTGAGGGGTGTTCTTGAGGCTATTTCTTATTTTAGGCCCACTAATCCTATGTGAAGGCTTAAGGCAGGTAGTCCTCATCTTATGACCACAGTTGAGCCCAAAATACTCTGTCACTAAGTGAGATCGTTAAGTGAGATTTGTCCCATTTTACGACCATTCTTGCCAGAGTGGTTAAGTGAATCGCTGCAGTTGTTAAGTTAATAATGCGGTTGTTAAGTGAACCTGGCTTCCCCATTGACTTTGTTCATCAGAAGGTCGCAAAAAGGGGATTGCAGGACCCCGGGGCCCTGCAACTGTCATAAATAGGAACCAGTTGCCAAACGTCCAAATGTTGATCCCACGGGGGATGCAGCGTCGGTCATAAATGTGAAAAACGGTCATAAGTCACTTTTTTTCAGTGCAGTTGTAACTTCGAATGGCCACTAAATTGAGGACTATCTATATTTGCTTAATTTATTGCAGAAACCTTTGGGTGGTACAATCCAGGAAACTTTGGGGAAGAAACCTGAGTAGGTGGCTTGGTGGAACTCAAGATACTGGGCTTATCGATCAGAAAGGTTGGCAGTTCGGCGGTTCGAATCCCTAGTACAGGTCTCCTCCGTGAGTAGGGGGTTGGACTAGATTTTATTTATTTATTTTTATTTATTTTATTTGATTTCTATACCGCCCTACTCCCGAAGGACTCAGGGCGGTGCACAGCCAAACAATAAAATACATACATACAAAATTTAAAAGTGGAATTAAAATCAAATTAAATAGTTTTGGCCCAGACAAATTAAAACCCCAATCAATTTAAAACCAATTTTAAAATTTGAATATATAAAATACTAAAAAATATTAAAAATTAAAAATCTTTTATAAAAGAGGGAGAAAATTAGGCCAGGCCCGCCTGGTGAAATAAAAAGGTCTTTAAAGCGCGGCGGAAGGTGCGCAGATCCGGGAACCTCCGTATCTCCGGGGGGAGCTCGTTCCAGATAGTAGGTGTCCCCACAGAGAAGGCTCTCCCCCTGGGGGCCGCCAGTCGGCATTGTTTGGCCAACGGCACCCGGAGGAGCCCCTCTCTATGGGAGCGTACCGGCCGGTGGGAGGCTATTGGTGGTAGTAGGCGGTCCCGCAAGTACCCAGGTCCTGAGCCATGGAGCGCTTTAAAGGTGGTAACCAAAACCTCCAAGGTCCCTTCCAACTCTGTTACTGTTACAAACGGATCTGGCAGTCACGTTCGGCCTATGGATTCCCAGCCCCGTAAGGATCCTTTCCCTGTTAAGGGAAGAGGAAGGCCAGTGACAGTTTTTGGATCCCCAGAAAGGAAACGTGGTCCAGAGAAGCAACTACAGGGAAGACTTACAGGTTCTCGGTAGTGTTGAAGAGCAACAGGGAGCTGAGGGAGCTAATGTTTCTGGGAAGACTGCCCAGGCCTTCTTCTGCATCATCTTCATGATGGACTCTGGTGGTAACTGAAACCGGGAAGTACTTCAACTTCTCCTACAAAATTCAAGCAACATATAGCTGTCAATATCCCAGCAGTCCTTTACTTTGTTCGATTCTTTAAATCAGGCATTTAGAAAAACCTTAAGCTACCAATGCCTCTCAGACTCGGCAGCCCTGTTTCTTTCAATGCCCTTCGGTTTTCCAGCCTCTCTTTCCTGCTGGCAGTTCTCACCTGTAGGATGGGAAAAGGTCAGTGTAATGACATCTCATGGCTTTGTTGCAATATCAAACCTATTCAGTGAGAGGGATACAAAAAGCAGCACATACGGCAGGCAAATCTCTTAATCAGTCCAACCTGAACCGTAGGTTAGAATTCAGGCAACTAATTCCTGCCGTTGTGGATCTGGTTTCCATGAATTACTGGAAATCAGTTCACTGCAATCCAACTTTTGCCCCTTACTACAAACTATCCAATTGTTGTATTCCCTTTCCCAAATTGACTGCTTTGGCCTTACCTCGCACCCCATACTGACTGTTATATTGTTATATTGACTGTTACCCTATGACTATCATTAAGTGTTGTACCTTATGATTCTTGACGAATGTATCTTTTCTTTTATGTACACCGAGAAAGTATGCACCAAGACAAATTCCTTGTGAGTCCAATCACACTTGGCCAATAAAGAATTCTGTTCTGTTCTGTTCTGTTCTGTTCTGTTCTGTTCTGTTCTGTTCTGTTCTGTTCTGTTCTTATTCTATTCTATTCTATTCTATTCTATTCTATTCTATTCTATTCTATTCTATTCTATTCTATTCTATTCTATTCTATTCTATTCTATTCTATTTTCTATTTCTCCGTCTAGCTTGAACCGGGTATTTTAGAAAGCCTGAAGTCCTAGAGCAGGGGTGTCAAACTCGTGGCATCACATTGTTGTCATGTGACATATCAGGACTTCCCCCCCTTTGCTAAACCGGGGATGGGCGTGGTTAGCGCATGATGCATCCAGCCCACAGGCCGTGAGTTTGACACTCCTGTCCTAGAGAGTAACTATCAAATGTAAACAATATTGAGATGAATAAATTAATATCAAAATAAAACAAATCTTAACGTATTTGCAAGAGGCTTAAGTATTTTCATGAAGTATTTTCAAAGGGTTTTGTGGTCTGGGGACATGTAAATCTCTAAAACTCTTGTTATGTTAATAGGAGTGATCTCGACAGAGACTTTCCGATGGGTTAAAAAGAAAATCACAAAAAAATATAGTAACTGCATGTAACAGCTTGTAGCATACAGAGGATGCTTTTACTTATTTTTGCCTAATATGCAGGAGGAAAAAATGCTAACAGTAAAAAACTGCAAATTGCCCAGCATTAATTCTTCGAGTTATATTTTTCTGATGCGGGCCTTAAAAATGCACTTTTTTTTTCTGATGTAAGCTCTCCTTTTAGACATAATTAACTGCTGCACTGTACAGCATACAACTTCCAGTAGCCAACTTTATTTCCATATGTGTAGTTTCAGCAGATTTTTCAAGGAAGGAAGATTAATCTTAGCTGATTTTTCTCCACTGCAGTCAGACGGGGGGAGGGGGGGAGTCAAAATCTGCTTCTAGGGAACGGTTTCCAACTTTAGCAGTTTTAAGATGAGTGGACTTCGACTTTCAGAATTCCCCAGCAAGCATGCTGGGAATTCTGAGACTTGAAGTCCACATATCTTCAAGTTGTCAAGGCTGAGAAACACTATTGTAGACAAAAGGACAGTATGTTTGATCAACGTGTGGGTCAAGTTTCAAGTAGAAGAAGGAGGAAGAATCTATTTTTGGTGGACTCTAAAGTTCTCTTCATATCCTGTACATTAGTGCACTGAGTTCTGAGGCTAGGCTGAAATATTCATGCTACTTTCCCCGTGACTGATTTCGCTTCCATTAAACTACAGAAAAATGCAAAGCGCTGAATTATTCAGCAGAAGCTTATTTTGGGGGGTTTTGAGAAAGAAAACAAGAGTGTGAGCCTGAAGCAGCTTCACTGGCCCTTGTCTGGTAGGACAGCTTTTCCTTCTGCATTAGGATCCAGATGTATATATCAGTGGTATCCCAAGACATTAACATCATAAAATAAATTCTCCGAGGGATGGAACATGTCCTTGGCTAGGAGAGTTGTTGAAAAGAAAACAAAAATCTCTACAGTATTAGTATTGCTCTTCCTTTTTGTTGGTTATCCTACACAGCCACGGGAGACTCCTAAATATTGGAAAAACTGCCAGCTTAATTTTAACTCATCTGCTCAGAAGAATGCACTCAGGGCTTATGCACACGGAGTCCAAACCAGGAACTACAATTTTATTTGTGGAAGTTCAGTGACTGGAACAAAGACTGTACAAAAACGAAGCACTAATTCAGAGCCGCCAATAACTAGAGATGCACAAAACAAAACCGCAAACAACTTCCTGCTGTGGAAGATTTATTTCTGGAAAACTGCTTGATCACCCCCAAGAATTACTAGATCAGCAAGGTCAAGAGGAAAAACGGAATGTTCCAAAATTTCCCCAAACATTTTACACACTCATTAATAAATATTGAAGGAATCTTAAGTTGTTCTGCCCCAGCTCTGGATCCTAAGGAGTGTGACACACACCAAGCTCCAAAAACTCAGTTTATTACAAATAGACCCCTTTCAAAATGCAGGCTTTCATTGCAAATGTCCTTATCAGCCTGCTATAAAGTACAAAGAATAAACAAAGTCCGACAAAGATTGGCAACCAGCCCAGAAACCAAGATGTGATAAGAAACTCACTCTCCAAAATGCTCTGCGTAATAATTAAACTTTATTTCCAGCAACAATTGTTAACTGCGTGTGACTTAAATAGGCTAAGGGAGTGGCCATTTAGCCCCAAGCCTTACTCTCAAGGAGACCTCCTCCTCCTGAGTAGCCACTCCTGCCTTTTGGCAGCCCTGCGTGCTCGAGCATTGAGGAGAGGCTCCTCCACTTTGCTCTCTCCACTTGAAGGAGCCTCTGGAGGTTCTGAAGGCCCTGGCTGAGTCTCTGCCTCTGGCACCACATCCTCTTCCGCCTCCTTGCTGTCCGACGCGACCGCTGGCTGCACAGGCTGCTGGTGCAACACCACACCAGCCTCCTCCTCGTCGGGATCAGCCACAAGCCGCGCAGGCTGCTGGCAGGCCACAACGTAAGTTTTCTAAAAATACAGCCTGAAAAGACCCTAGACTACAGGCAGGAAAGAGCAGGCAATAGCCAAGGGAAATGGGAACTTCTCCTTTCTCTACTCATATAGACATTGACTAGTTCAGAAAACATAATTCAGGGATGCAATTTATCCCACACCTCCTAACGACACAATCAGTGAACACAGAGACTGTTTGTGTGTGCAATATACAAACAAAAGTTTAATTATAAGAGCCCTGGGGGCGCAGTGGTCAGAATGCAGTTGTCAGTTTAACCCTGACGGCAGTATTGCAGGCTGACTCTGCCCACAGTCTGGAGTTTGATCCTGATCAGCTCAAAGTTAATTCAACCTTCCATCCTTCCGAGGTCGGTAAAATGGGGATCCAGATTGTTGGGGGCAATAGGCTGACTCTAGACAGTGCAGAGAGTGCTGTAAAGCGATATGTAAGTCTAAGTGCTCTTGCTATTATTTACTTATTTATGCATGTGACTGAACACTTTATAAGCATAAAAATGCAAGCTCACTGCTAGGGAGTCATTTTTAAAATAGTTTTATAGAATCCTTTTGGGGCTACAGAATAGTCCAAGCAGATTCTTATGTAAAGGTTTTTTCCCCCTTCTAATCCACGCTATACTTTTGCTGCCTGGGACCTCCTCAGGCAATTCCTGTCCTGCCGCTCTCAAAAACCCAAAGCAAAGAGAAGCCTCTTGAGTAAAGAAATTTAATTATGTGTCCTCTGACTCCTTACCTGTAAGGACTTCTCATCCAAGGGTCTGTGCTTGCTCTGAATCTTGTGCCTCGGTTGTTTCTGTGCCTCTGAATCCTGAGCGCCAGTGAAAATGGAAGCATATTCTTGCAGCCGTTCTGGGGCAGGGTATTTGGAACTGGAAAACACCTAGGAGGAAAAAAAAAAATGTACGGAGAGAGAATTGAAGCATAGAAAGTAGGTTGCCAGAACATAATCAAGACAGCCGGGTGGTTTTTAACAGAAAAAGAAACATACGTCGTTAACGTGCTAATACAGAAGTAGGAACTATGAATGAACTATCTCAGAATTTAATTCCTTACCTACAAAATAATCTACAAGACTCTGATACAGGTAGTCCTCGACTTAAGACCACAATTGAGCCCAAAATTTCCATTGTCTACATAAGACAGTTTTTAACGGAGTTCTGGCCCCATTTGAATGACTTTTTTGCCACGGTTACGTGACCCACTGCAGTTGTTAAGTGAAGCGAAACTGGCTTCCCCCATTGACTTTGCTTGTCGGAAACCAGTTGGGAAGGTTACAAATGATGATCACATTACCCCGGACAGGGCAGCTGTCATAAATGCATGCCAGTCGCCAAATGCCTGAATTTTGATCATGTGACCATGGGGTATGCTGCAACAGTTGTGTGTGAAAAACAGTCATAAGTCATTTTTTCAGTGCTGTTATAACTTCAAACGGTCACTAAACAAATAGTTGTAAATTGAGGACTATCTGTATATGGCAAATGCAAACCCATAAACATAAGTATTAATATGGATGAGTTACAACTGGGGGAAACTATGATGCTAGCTAGAGTAGTAGGATTCAGTTCCAGGTTCTGTCTCGAGTTACTACCAGTTTGTTAACTGCACTGAACAAGCCAGTCTCTGCCTTAACATTCCAGAAATTTGCATTCTGGATGCTTATAAGGATGTTTAAAAAATACTGCTGAAAGACAAAGAGGTTTTGGAATATAATAAAACAGAGGAAATAAACAGGCTTGCTACCTGATCCCCAAACTAGATCCTGGCTGTTACAGAAGGCAACAGATTAGAGTACTTTCTTTCCTTAATAATTAAGATACTGCAACCACTTTGTATTTTGCATTTAAAAAAAAAACTTTCATTCATGCAATTGTGGACTGTGTGACTGCTCTTACAGGCAGCTTGGCCTTTTACGGTTAATGGAAGCAACACCATTCAAAAGAACCATTGCAATTGATATCCAAACCTTTATAGCCTTCTTGCTGCCTTTTATCTTCTCAATTTTGGCTTGGGCAAGGGTGACCCTCTCATTGATTGCTCGCAGCTGTGCCCGGCTGGTTTCCACTTGTTGGGAGATCCTAAGAATCAATCAATCAGTCAGTCAGTCAATCAGTTTGCAGCAGCATTTAACAAATGGGCAATGAGAAAGAGTTCACTGGTTGGTATATAGATTAAGTAAAGCAATCTATTTCCAATAAAATACCTATCATTTAAAGACTATCAATTCCAAGACAAAGGTTGTCATAATTTTGTCAACAAGCCCACCAAATAGCAGCAGCATTTGAGGTTATATACCATCTCATAGCATTTTTACAGCACTCTCTGGGCGGTTTATAACGTAGATGCATTATTTGCATACTGCCCCCAACAATCTGGGTGCTCATTTTACTGACCTCGGAAGGATGGAAGTCAACCTTAAACCCCGCCAGGATTGAACTCCAGGCAGTGAGCAGAGTTAGCCTGCAATACTGCACTTTAATCTGTGCCACCAGGGCTGAGAAACAACAGTAATGATAATACAGTAATAATAACAAAAGGAATCCATGTAGCCCTACACATCTTGAGGATACCATATTAGGATAAGATATGTTATTATTCTACATCTGTTTGCCACATAGGGTCAATTTGGATCTTAAACACTCTCAACCTGTTTGGATTCCCACATTATTTCATGTTTCATAGACTGTGTTGACTAACACAGTGAGGCAAAACAACAACAACAACAACCCCACTCTTCAGGAATGACCCAAAGGTGCTTTTTTCAAGAGGCAACTGGACTTTCTGGTTTTTCTTTGAAGACGTTTCATTTCTCATCCAAGAAGCTTCTTCAGCTCTGAAAGACGAGGTTCTGGAGAGATGAAGAAGCTTCTTGGATGAGAAGCAAAACGTCTTGAAAGAAAAACCAGAAAGTCCAGTTGCCGCTTGAAAAAAGCACCTTTGGGACAACCATGACCTGGATGACTGAGAATCTCCAGGGACCTTCAGGAATGAGCGTTCAGATTTGAGAGGAAAAAAAATAGGTTTCTGAGGCTACTCGTAATAATGCTTCAGAAGCCCCAGTAAATGTAGCAACCTGGCTTCAAGCAGGGAAGAGTTGGTTGAGTAACATCATGCCAGTGTTTTAGTTGCTGTCAGAACTCTGGGTCCAATTTAAGGTGTTGGTTTTAATCACTGTGCCAATATTGAAATCTTCAGGCAGTTCCCTTGCTGATCTAATCTCTTGTGTATTTTATGGTTTTTAAATTTTAATTAGTTTTCATTTTAATTTTTCAACACTTTTATTACATATTTCTTCTAGGTAAGGTAAGGAAAGCTCTAACTTAGTCTTCCCTATGTGCTCATCTCAAGAGGAATTGCAGTAAGTTTCCATTCCTCATGAAGCAGGGGTATCAGACCTACCCAGTAGAAAGCCTTGTCCACCTATTTTCCTTTTATTATATGGTTAAAACCACTATGAGAATAGAACAGAACAGAACAGAACAGAACAGAACTAGAATAGAATAACTGAATAGAATGAAATAGGAATAGAATAGAATAGAATAGAATAGAATAGAATAGAATAGAATAGAATTCTTTATTGGCCAAGTGTGATTGGACACACAAGGAATTTGTCTTAGGTATATATGCTCTCATTGTACATAAGGAGAATAAAATACATTCATCAAGAATAAAAAGATACAACACTTAGTGATAGTCAAGGTTACTAATAAGCTATCCAATCGTACTAGGATACAAATAAAAACAATATAATTGAAAGATACAAGCAACATGGTTATAGTAGTAAGTGGGAAGAGGTAGATACTAGTAAGGAAGAGAAGAATAATAGTAATACAGTCTTAGTAAATTATTTGACAGTGTTGTGGGAATTAGCTGTTAAGCAGAGTGATGGCATTCAGGAAAAAACTGTCCTTGTGTCTAGTTGTTCTGGTGTGCAGTGCCCTATAACGTCGTTTTGAGGGTAGAAGTTGAAATAATTTATGTCCAGGATGTGAGGGGTCTGTAGATATTTTCACAGCCCTCTTTTTGACTCGTGCAATATAGAGGTCCTCAATGGAAGGCAGGTTGGTAGCAATTGTTTTTTCTGCAGTTCTAATTATCCTCTGAAGTCTGTGTCTGTCTTGTTGGGGTGCAGAGCCAAATCAGACAGTTATGGAGGTGCAGATGACAGACTCAATCATTCCTCTGTAGAACTGAATCAGCAGCTCTTTGGGCAGTTTGAGCTTTCTGAGTTGACGCAGAAAGTAAGTCTTTGGTGTAAAGCTGGATCCGGGTACCATTAAAACTTTTTTGGTACTGTTGGATGATTATTTGCTCCAACACTGGTTGTTTTTAAGGAGAGACTGGACAACAATTTGTCTGCAATGGCATGGGATTTCCTGCCTGGGCAGGGGGTTGACCTAGAAGACCACCAGGTTCCCTTCCAACTCTATTATTCTATTAGTCGTACTGTTGTTCTGTTGTAAAATACTTCAGGTCTTAAAAGTATAGCAGTATATAAACATCTGTATAAAACAATAGATAAATAAAATATGAAGTGATATACTAGGTATGATTGTCAAGTGACTAATATAGACGTGACTGGCCAAGGAAAATCTTTCAAAAAAGTAAATAATTATTATATCCAGAACAGAGAGCCAGTTTGGTGTAGGGCAGTGTTTCTCAACCTTGGTAGCTTGAAGATGGGTGGACTTCAACTCCCAGAATTCTGGGATTCTGGGAGTTGAAGTTCACTCATCTTCAAGCTTCCAAGGTTGAGAAACACTGGTGTAGGGGTTAAGGAACTGGGCCAGAAATCAGGAGACTGTGTTTTATTCCATTTTAGGCACAAAGTCAGCTGGGTGACCTTGGGCCAGTCATTCTCTCCCAGCTCTAGGAAGGAGGTAATGGCAAACCGCTTCCAAAATCTTGCCAAGAAATCTGCAGGGATAAATCCAGGCAGTTGTCAGGAGTCAATTTTGACTCAGAGACACAATCAATCAATAACCCAGAATAGTCATCACACACATGAAATGTCTCCAAAAAGAAACCATAAAAGCACTCATTTACATATCTGAGCAGGTTTGTATGTAATATTCAACATACTTAATATTCAACATATTGAATATGAATATGTAAATAATTTAACATCCTCTTTTTAACAAGATAAATTTTCCTTGTTAAGCCGGCTAGAACGTATGAAACCATCGTCTCTCCAAATAAAATCCAGCCTAAAGTACTAGCCGTACAAATGAAACCACGTCAACTTTTCCTAAGTTATTAAAGCTGAAGTTGGAAACAAAGAACCCTTATAATCCTTCACACGAAGCCAGTGAAAGAGTGATTGATATTTGCAGTAGGCAGATTAATGTCCTCCCCTTCCCCAATTTTGCAAAATAAATATATTGAGATTAAAGGACAGAAACAATGTGCCGGTGAAGGGGAACACCAATCATATTCACTGACACAGCCAGCCCTCTGTTGCAGAAAACCAGCATTTAGATCAGGCAGTCCTGATTCATTATTTTTCCAACTTCAAGGATTCTAGGCTGAACGTTGCTGTTACAACTTGGAGAGTAATTTACAGGATTGTCAGTATTTTATTTATTTATTAATCCAATTTACATGGTTGCCCATCAATCACGCTGAACTAAATAAAAACAAGGGATTCCTAAAGAATTCAAATAAAACTACATCAAGGCCTCAGCAAAACCAGATCTACCTAGCCATGCCAGAGCCCCATACTAACATCCTGACCCAGTCCTTGGGGGGGAAGAGCCAGATTTTCACAGCCTTCGAAAGGGCCAACAAAATAGGAGCTGCATATATTTGGGGAAAGAGCCTGATACATAGGGCAGGTGCCATGACAGAGAAGACTCGCTTCCTAGGGCCAACCAAGCGATATGGTTTTAATGACAGAACCTGGAACGTATCTTCTCTCCCAGATCTGGTAGGATGGGTGGAAAGATGGTCCCTCAAGCAACCTGGTGCCCTGTCCTGGGTCTTTCAAGTGACAAACAGCACCTTGAATTGTGCTGGGACACAGTGTAAGTCATGTGATCGTATTATGGATGTACCATGTGATACCTCATACTGCACACGCCAATTACATTCTGGACCAGCTGGAGCTTCTGAAAGCTCTTCAAGGTTAGTTCCAGTATTTTGAATAGTTTTTTTTTATCTCCCTTTTATTTTTGGTCAACTCAAAGTAGTACTTAGTACAGTAATATAATATATGCATATCTCCTATTTTCCCCACAACAACCTTATGAAGTAGGTTGGGCTAGCCCAGTCACTCAGCTGGCTTTAATGACTGAGGGTATGGCCTCCCAGTTAATAGTCCAGCATTTAGCTACTACACCATTACTGGCTCCCAATACAAAGATGATTTTTATCCACATGGTTGTTCCTAAGTGTTTAGGATCATAATTCGCATCACACTTAAGTTTTCAGGATCCTGGACAGAACTTACTTACTTACTTACTTACTTACTTACTTACTTACTTACTTACTTACTTATTTATTTATTTATTTAGTCAAGCATATATAAGATAACAGGTAAAAGTATACACATAATTTGAATGCATGAAAAGAGTTAAGTAAAAAGGAGTATTAGGACGGGGATGGTAGGCACGCTGGTGCACTTACGCATGCCCCTTAAACACCTCTTAGGAATGGGGTGAGGTCAACGGTAGACAGTTTAAGGTTAAAGTTTTGGGGGTTTGGGGAAGAAACCACAGAGTCAGGTAGTGCATTCCAGGCATTGACCACTCTGTTGCTGAAGTCGTATTTTCTGCAGTCGAGTTTGGAGCGGTTTATCTTGAGTTTGTATCTATTATTTGCTCGTGTATTGTTGTGATTGAAGCTGATGACCAAAATGTTTAGCACACAGGTATCAAACTTGATACCACGCTTAATGAACTACAGGTAACACTTGATTTACAACCATAATTGAACCCAAAATTTCTGCTGCTAAGTGAGACCTTTTGTTAAATGAATTTTGCCCCATTCTACCACCTTTCTTGCCACATTTGTTAAGTGAATACCTGCAGATGTTAAGTTGGTAACATGGTTAAGTGAATCTGGCTTCCCCATTGACTTT